TGGAGCTATGCGTATGCCAATGGAGCTAGCTAGCTGGAGCCTGGAGGTCCCTGATTGTGGAGGGAGGGATCCCTTCTTCAATTAGCAAGTGACGTGTCATTATCCACGAATCAGAGTCACGGCTTCTGTCCAGGTGGCGTTCAAGGTACGTACCTGCTTCAGCTGTTTTATCCCCAGTATCGTACCGTCGGTACCTCTGCTTTTGCGGCTCTGGCTGAGCTGACTAGATTGCGAACTGATGAAGAGTTGCAGCTTGGTACAAAGCTTGGTGCAGAGCTGCTACTTGTTCACAACTTACACTTCCTTTGGAAGCAAGTTGGTTTTTAGCGCTCTGGCGCCCAGGCGATCTTTGGCGATTGGCGGACAGCGTTCTGCGACCAGTGATCAGCATTCAGCGACCAGCGATTAGTTGTAGAGGCTAGGAGACCTTAGAGGATAGCGCACTTCCTGTTACATAGTATTCCCCTGCTCTGCAGCATGGCGGCGTTTGTGGCAGGCCTGCTTGGCATCAGCGAGCAGGAGTTTCAATTCCGCGTGCAGCGAGCCAACCACTTGACGGTCGCTCCTCTCCTGAGCCTCTACCACTCCATCTCTCCTCTTCTAGGTCTCACTGCCTCCTCTGATGATCTTCCGCTGGTTGCTGCTGTTCATGAGGCAGTCCCTCTCTCTACTTCTTCTCAGCCTGCTCAGCTCCTCGAGGATGCGGATGGTGAACAAAACCATGCGCACTTTGACGCCTCCGCTATCGAGCCCCTCAGCCTGAACTCCGACGCTAAATCTCAGGAGGGAGAGCTGCAGCTTACTTTGCGCGAGCAGGGACTGTGCGGCAGGTGGGAGGCGCTGCCTCAAAGGGGAGAGCGGGAGGGGGGTACTTTGACTTTTTGTTTGGAGGAGGGCTTGGCTGGACGCGGGGAGGCCCTCCGGAGAACCCCGCCTCAGGACTGATTGCCGCAGAGCAGGCTGCAAATGTCCCCCTTAGCGACTCAGCGATGTTCATCATTGCACAGGGTTGCTTCCGCCTGAACAAGCTGCATCTTGAGTGGTGCTGTGGTATCTCTGATGGGGGGCTTGCGGCGGTCCTGAGAGGTTGTTCTGAGCTGACTGACCTGAGCCTCGAGTTCTGCGGGAAGGTTACGGGGGAAGCGTTCAGCGGCCTGGCCTGCAAGATTGAGAAGCTGGATCTGGTTGCTTGTGATGCCGTAAAGAATGAGGGCTTGCTAGCAGCTGCGACAGCATGCTCAAGGTTGAAGGAGTTGAGGGTCACGAGCAACCAGAAGGGCGCATCTCTGACGAAGGGCGTGGAAGGGGCTGCCAAATTCTGCAAGGGGTTAGAGGCGCTTTGTATCCATGCGTGTGGTCTCAAGGACGAGACATTGCGCTCCTTTGCCACCAGCTGCCCCTTGCTAAGCAGCGCCAGCCTTTCGTGTGAGCCCGCCGTTACTGATGGGGGCCTTGCGGCCTTCTTAGCTGGGCTGCCTAAGTTGGAGTCGCTGAGTCTGCAACACATGGACGGGCTTTCTGGTGTGCCACGAGTTGGGTAAGTGATTAACAAGATCCATTCAGCTTCTCGACCATTCACTATCGCTTTCTGCTGCCATCTGCATGCGATCCAGGAACCTCCTAGTAGCAACAAGCCAGAATGGTCATGACAAAACCCTTGTGATTCAGGAATACAATGTTGTCAATGCACTTTATCTTGGTTCCTGCTCACAGTGACAACTTGCCCAATTTAGAGATTAATTTGTGTTCTCTTCCTTCCGTTGCAGGGCCAGCAAGCGCTTGAAGAAGCTGCGGCTTGGATATTGGTGGAATGCTCCTGATCTTTTCCTTAGAGGACTTTCAGAGGAAACAACCCTCGAGGAATTGCGCCTCGAATGCTGCCCTCATCTGACTGATGCCACAGTAGACAGCATTTTCGCGGGCTGCAGGAGTCTAAAGCTTCTCGTGTTGCTCGACAACAAGCTTATTACGGCTGAGTCGATTAGGGCGTACCTTAGACATGGTAAGAAGAGCACGCTGCAGATCTTGGAGTGTCCAGGTGCTACCAAAGAGAATGTACCAGATGACTTGCGGACCGTTTTGCAAGACGTGTTTCCTTAATAAGCTCTGAAGTCCGGCCTCATGATGTTTGCAAAGTCTTGCGTTGATGATTGGGCCATGTTGGATTAGCGACAGCTGCTCACACGGACATCACAAATTGCAAATCACTGTCTCTTTGCTACGCCAACGTCTTTTGGGGACACTAAAACACATTGGCTATTTCGTACTGACATGAGGGAAACTTCGATCGGGCCAACTACTGTATTTGCTTTGCGGCATACGTGCAGATATGACCTGGTGCATGTGTATATGCCGATGAATGTACTTGCTTGCATTTGATGCCGGCCCGTCAGGTGAATGAGGTAAATGCTATACTATGCGCATCAAAATGAACGATAAGTTGGCGGAAATACCATGCAGCAAAGCTCTAGTGCTTTTGATGTAGCTGTACATTCCGCTTGCGATCATGTCACCTGTGCGATCGATGATCGTACCAATAGAAGTCGCATGGCACATTCATACAAAAAGAACGTACATGGGACGCATGTAGGCAGTCTCGCTGTTTGCTTGTTAAACAGCCGTGAATCTCTCTCCCGACCAAACGCTTTGGTCGGGGTCATTCTCAATAATCCCCTTCAACGCCTACATAAGAGCGAGTCGAGAAGGATCTTATATTGAGTTCAACCTGTCAGCAGGTGAAGGATGCGGCTGTTTCCATCAGAATGTACTTGCAATCTGCAATCACTCCGAGCATATGCACGAGATATATCGAGCTCGGATTCGATGCGGCAGCTCGCCATCATTCACGCTCTGTTTCGTATCGAATTCCAACATTGGCAACAAGTAAATCGGTCGGTCTCGAAAGAACAGCTTGGTTCATGCCCAAGGAGCGCGTTGCCAGCTTGGCGTGGCTCGTCGACTCAATCCAATTAAGCTTTTGCGCTCCGTGAATGGTTTCAGACAAGGCTAGATTGACCGCTCTCGAAAGAACTACCTTCAAGCACAAAACGGTCCTACTCAGCCGAGCTTGATGATCCGCTGACCATTCTAAACATTCTAACGGAGTGTTTTTGAGCCAATCATTCCAAAGATGATACCAATGTCACCGTCGACTCGAGAATTCCTGTGCCGCCCCTTGTTTTCTGGCGTCGTAACTGCAGGAAGAATAAAAAGCGAGTGGTTATGATTTTGTTTGGAGACGAGGATGCCATCTCGAACAGCCTGGCTTTGTGGCATGATAACACAAGACAGAACGGCCCGAATAGCTAGTGGAACCAGTGGACACGGCTTGGACGGGATGGAGGGCTGAGAAAGAACTTTGCACCATTATATGACCGGGTCTTACCTACCTTCTATGGACTTGGCGGGCTTGCTACTCTTCAGCTCAGGAATGTTCGACGCGTTACGTAAACCGAGTTTTCAAGACTGCAGTGGTGATGATGGTCCGATACAAGTTAGCATCAAATAGGCGTATGACTCTTCGTTATGCTTCTTTTGACAGGTTCGAGCGCGCTTCTGACAAAGATTCAAACGGGCGATCGACATGGAATGAGTCCGAATTTATACGAACTCCAATGGGCGGCCAATAAGGAGCTCCGAGGATTGTCCGGCTCCCCCAGCTCGGCTTCTTCGATTTCAAACAATCAGGAACAATCATCGTATTACCATCCAGCAAAATTCAAGAAGCAGGTTTGCAAAGCAACTAGATGTGGATCTGGCGGCCCACCTAGAGCTTAGAATTCCGGGGACGTTGAAAACGGGTCCCCCGCCAGACCGGCAGCCGCTGATCATCTCCCCGAGGCGGCCCTCTTGCTGACGTCAACGCCGCGCGCGAGTGAAGCGGTTAGCGTACCACCTGCACGCTCGTGCGCGCATATCCGCCCTTCAGCCCTCAGCACGCGCGCGGTGGACATCTGCCTGACAAGCGGCTTGACAACGGCGCTCCTGTGAAAGGTCCCAAGGAGCTGTTAGGAAACGTGAAGGAAAGTGTCAGACAACGAAAAGATGGGGTTTGAACGATCTTTCCGAGAGGTTTCAGAGAGATTTTGGTACCAGTACTAGCGGTCTCGGAGGATATGGAGAATCGAAGGTCGTACTCTCGGGATTTTTGCCTGGCGAGACATCGCTGAATTCTCTGGTCAGGGACTACAAGTCGTTCGGCCGTTCCCTTCCGATTGCGTGAATCTCAGGGAGAAAGAGTCGCCTTCTTCCAGCCCGGCTGTCAACGCCCACTCAGACATCTTTACAACTTGGTCAATTTCGTCACAAGCATATCCAGGCCCCACCGAGAATGAAGGTCGAGAATGAAAACATCATCAGAAGGTCAATTGGAAAACTCGGTGCCTTGATCTGTCCTTTTCTCGACCTTCCCTTGCAATAAGCGTCTCGAAAAGGCGGCCTGAATTTTGAGACCCGACCCCCCACAAGTAGATCAGGAAAGCGTCTATTTGTCACAAATCCGTCAGAGCGCCCCACATCTTCGCGACTCCTTTGGGAAGGACTCCTACAGACAAACTTCAAAAAGCCTTCCAGTACGCTGATCCTCCAAAGCGCCTCACCTGTACGGCTTGTCCACGAGATCGCCGCCGCGTGATCACACTGCAGCTGCTTCCGAAGTCGTTACTACCTCCGGTCAGCTTGCTCCGCTCGGTATCGGGGACAGTGAGATGTAGGACTTCCATTGAAATGCTGAAGGCAGGCCTCCGTACAGGTATCTCTCGCTGGCAGTTTTGAATCTCGTGCGGCCGCTGCGCTGCCTGCACAAAGGCGGACCCAGGGATTCATGCGGGGGTTCACGTGGCCGCTACTGGCGTCAAAGGGACTGAAGGCGCTCAAATTCAGGCCGGAAACAACGTCGGGTTTGAGACGTAGTCGGATCTTTGGAACTCAAGGACGATCCGGGGAGGGCTCAGGAACGAGTGCGGAAGAATGCTCTTTCAGACTTCAAGGCTTGAACGTGCTCATACTGAAAACACAAGAACACCCTGGGCGGACACAGACAGCCTGTACTTATATCTATTTTCATTTGTGACAGTCCGTTTCCGTTGCGGACTGAAACGGAGCTTGGACGTCTGAAGCAGAAATCTTAGTGGGCAGCGTTGGTAAAGAATTCGTCCATCGGTTCAAAGTTTTGAAAGATGCTGTCGCCGCATCCACTGGATGCAAATTGCTCAAAGAAGTTGGCAAGAAAAATACGTTGCTCAGCAGTAGCGGCGGTTCTTCACCAGCTTTCATGGACCGCGAATACCTATCTTGATTGGCGCGGCCGAAAGGGAAGAGCACTTTGCATTTTGTACACCGCGTGTACCAACGTAGTGCGCAGCCCACTGCGGCAGGTAAGATGACCTCAAACGCTGCCAAAGAATCTCGTGTCACCGGATTTTGACTCACGTAAAACCAGTCGGCAATCCGAATTTGCCGTAATTGGAATCCCGACCGGCGCCTAAATGGCAGACAAAGGGATATGCAAGTGCCACGTGGCACTCTCACCTTGGTGACGGGCACAGGCGAGCTTTTCCATTGCGGCCCGGAGGCTGTAGGCGCGTCTTTGCCAGCTCCAGATCTGTTGACAAGGCACGCGAACACCAGAGAGTGTCATAGATTCCATGCTGTCATCCAGGGTGAGCGGTGACCGCTTCAGCACATCGAAGCTAAAGGGCCAGAGCGACTCAAAGAGGTTTGAGCATGCAAACCAAACGAGATCTCTTAAGCTGCAAAAGACATCCAAGCTATCACAACCCACGTTTGGAGCAAGAGCGCGCAAGACTGTCAGCCTTTGGCAGCACAATGACCTGCCCCTTTCTATATAGATCTTAACCGCGTATTCTTTTTGAGAGCTCAAAGCACGTGCGCTCCAGCATCTCTTGGCAGAGCCACCCTTCTCAGAAGCTACCTAACATGTATCACAAGGGTTATTCCAACACCTAGATAAATTCCCACGATCTTTGACTAGCTCACAGCCTGATCCTCTCGACATCTGACAATAGTTAGGGTTTCTAAATGGCCCCAAACATAATCTGCATGGTACAAAGAAACGTGCAGAATGATATGAAACTTGCCCTTACCCTAAAGAGACCCCTTTCGGGCTACGGTGCACAAGATTACCACCCCCTGGAAGCACACTGCTTCCGGCCTCCTGTCAAACTTGAATAATTTGCCAGCATTCAAGCTGACATCGCCGCCTCCAGCATTGGCCCTGCGTCTCCACTGCGAGCGCTGACGTCACCGTTGCTTCTTTCCTGCTCCTGCCTTGAGCAACTGACAACATCGAAAGCAGCGGGAGGGATTCTAGAAAGATCATTCGTGTCAATGTTGTTTCAAGGTCGGTTCTGAAGCCCCTGATATTGCTGAGGTCAGCGGGCGCAGTCGCAGGTCTGCAGGAAAAGGGACGGACGTCGGTGTGCAGCTAGCGCTCGCCCGCTCTGTCAATCCTCACCATGTGCGGGTTGAGCTTTGCGTAGCAGCTGCAAGCGGTCAATCACATACCTGGCGGAAACATCAAGAAGGAGTCAAGTTATAAGGCTGTTCATCGTTAACAAGGTGATGATGAAAGGAAGGAGCGCTGCCCATAAGGAGCCTCGAAAAAGCTTTTCCCCTAAACCACTTCATGAAGCTCACAATGTACCTGGCAAATGAGATGAAGAACAGACCACCAACGCAGGAAGTGGTGTCATACAGCAGGTGATGCTTGCTGCCCAAGACTGTGAAGTGGCCTTCCGGTTGCAATGATACTCCCTCGATCCTTATTGCGGAAGGGGGATCCCCTTTGCATAGGAGCAGCTGACGTGTTTTTTTATGCTTACTTTCGACCAATCCGAGTCCTTGCTTCTGTCCAGGTGGCATTACGGTACGTACCGCCGTCCGCTTCTTGCTTAGCGGTACCGTACCCTTGGTACCCTCTGCTGACTCGCCTCTGAGCTGACTCCAGATTGAGCTTGGCAGCTTGAGCCTCAGGTATAGAGTAAGCTGCAGAGCTGCTTCTTGTTCACAACTTTCACTTCCTCTGGAAGCAAGTTGTGTTTTAGCTCTCTGGCGCCCAGGCGATCTTCGGCGATCAGCGATCAGCGATCAGCGATTAGAGTTTTGCGAGCAGCGAGCAGCGTTCGGCGACCAGCGATTAGTTGTAGAGGCTAGGAGAGTTTAGAGGATAGCGCGCTTCCTGTTACAGAGCATTCCCCTGCTCTGCAGCATGGCGGCATTTGTGGCGGGCCTGCTTGGCTTCAGCGAGCAGGAGTTTCACTTCCGCGTGCAGCGAGCGAACCACTTGACGGTCGCTCCTCTCCTGAGCCTCTACCACTCCATCTCTCCCCTCCTAGGTCTGACTGCCTCCTCTGATGATGTTCCGGTGGTTGCTGCTGTTGATGAGGCAGTTCCCCTCTCTACTTCTTCTCAGCCTGCTCAGCTCCTCGAGGATGCGGATGGTGAACAAAACCACGCGCAATCTGACGCCTCCGCCCTCGAGCCCCTCAGCCTGAACTCTGATGCTAAATCTCAGGAGGGAGAGCTGCAGCTTACTTTGTGCGAGCAGGGATTGTGCGGCAGAGGGGAGGCACTGCCTCAAAGGGGAGAGCGAGAGAGGGAGAGGCTGGATTTTTGTTTAGAGGAGGGCTTGGCTGGCCGTGAGGAGGCCCTGCCGAAGGATGGGGAGGGGAGTCAGTGGGTGGGGCGTGAGGTTGCAGACTTGTCATTGGCAAGGGGGGCAGCGAGCATTGCGCAGCTGGATGGGGGTTGCTTGGTCAAGATCCTGTCCCATGTGGACAACAAGACTCTTCAGGCGTGCTCCTTGGTTTGCCGCGAGTGGCTTGAGGTTTCCAGCTTTGCGCGCACGCTCATGAGTCTGCAAGAAGGCCCCCAGATCACTGCCCTCCCCTCGCTGGTCGCACGCTTCTCACGGCTGCAGAGTCTGCACATCCAGGGCCCCAAGACTGAGACCATCCCCGCCTGGTTCCTCCCCGAAGACTACGTCGCACCAGAACAACCCCGCACAGACTTGGCCAACATCGTTCCCCTCAATGACTTTGGAATGGACATCATCGCTCGCGGCTGCCGCGGTCTCTGCAAGCTGGAACTAGAATGGTGCTCTGGCTTCTCTGACGTCGGACTTGCGGCAGTTCTGAGGGGTTGTTCTGAGTTGCTTGACCTGAGCCTGGCCTACTGCGGGGGGTTCTCTGGGGAGGGGGCATTCGCTGGCGTCTCGTGCAGACTAGAGAAGCTTGTGCTGGACGCCTGCGACAAGTTGACGAACGAGGGCTTGCTTGCGGCTGCGGTGGCGTGCCCCCAGCTGAGAGATCTCAGCGTTCTCATGGATAAGGAGAACGATGCGCTGGCAGTGGGGCTGGAGGGAGCCGCTAGATCGTGTAGGGGCCTGCATGCGCTCATGATCCACGCCTGTGGGATCAGCGATGCAACGCTGCGAGCAGTAGCCGTCAGCTGCCCTCAGCTGCAGCAGGTCACCGTCACGTGCGAGCCCGCCGTCACACACACGGGGCTCACGGCCTTCTTTGAGAGGCTGCCAAAGCTGGAGGAGCTGACGCTGCAGAACATGGAGGGGTTGGTGCATCTGCCGCGCTTCAGGTACGTAGCAAGAAGTGCAATGTGCCAACAAAGCCTGCAAGATGCTCATCAGCTCTTTCTAAATCTGCAAACTGACAGCTTTCAACTCATCTTGAGTTTTCGATCTGACGTTCTGGTCTCCTGTCAAAGTGGTAGGACTGCACAGTGACTAAGGAACTATTTGTGTGCATCCCTCCATTGGTTACTGGATCTGGTTTGCTCGCTCTGCCTAGTTTCTTACTGGATCTTGCATGTGCAGGGCTGGTCGGTGCCTAAAAAAGCTGCGGCTGGGCATCTTCTGGGATGTGCCGGACGAGGTCCTTAGGGAGGTTTCCGAGGAAACGAACCTGGAGGAGCTGCTGCTGATTTCTTGTCACCAACTAACCGATGTGACGGTTGACATGATCTTTGCTGGCTGCAAGAGGTTGAAGCGTCTGGTCTTGTATGATAACGAGTTGGTGTCAACGGAGTCGATAGCGGCTCTTCACAAGAGCGGCAGGAAAGTCAAGCTGGTTGTTGGAGAGTGTCCGGGTTCTAGGGAGGGAGCTTTTGCGCCAGAGTGGTATGGTGAAATGGAGCAGATTAATTACTTTCTTTCCTAGATCGCATAGGATACTCGACATTATTCTAAACAGGTTGCAGATTGACGATTTTCAGCTTGAAGAAAAGCTCGCTACACCAACAAGCCAAACGTGAACTGGACAGTGTATGCATACAACGGTTGTAGCTGAAAGTATAGGTTGGCAGAAAGCCCAACGTTGTCTACTTGCATGGACTCATGAAGTCTGGCAAGTTGCACGAGGTCGACACGATCAGCATGGCCGCGGTTGCTTTACTCGACGATCAGATGCTTGTATATCTTGCCAAAGCACGAACGATAGTGCACGTTGCTGAGAATATGCATGCAGCTTGTATGATGCCAGCAGCTGTACAGGGCCAATCATTGCACGCGGCTTGGAATGATCCGTTAGGCGTATGCGTTAGGCGTATGCGATGGGCGGCAAAACATGCTAGCTCGGAGTTGCCAAGCACCCGTTTGCAGAAGTCAGATTCGTGCGTCCTTAGGGTAAAACGTTTGCACACGAAGCTTGCATTACTTATCTGATGTTGCCGCGCAACTGGCAAGGATTGTTCTTGGCCGTCTTTGAAGAAGCGCTCGCCAGCTAACCTCGACTGGCTGGCTGGCTGTGACAGTTTGCGTATGTATAGACTGTTTGCCCACATAGAAATGTCGACAGCCGAAACTGGCAGATTTTCTGGGCGTTGAAGCAAAGCCGTCAACAGCGTCGCGCCTAGCACGAATTCCGAGTCTTTCTCCGTCTCTGATGACAATCGAAGGCAGACACGGAGCGTCATGCTAATATGGCCGTAGTACGAAGGAACAAGGGCAGACCAAAACAAATCAGGAGGTTCAGCATGGGTCCATTCAGATGATGACCAATTTCCGCTAAAGCCACGCATGTTCCACTCATAAAATATCATGTCAAGTGACCGGCCAACTTTAGAAAAGCGTTGTGCTTAACCACATTCCTTGAGCTTCTTTCTTTCTCGAGTCTCCGGTGAAGGCTGGAGCGGGGGTAGGCTCTAGCGACGCAATGGTTTGGCAACCTGCGTCCACGAAGCACGTTCAGATTGGATCAAGTAACAATTTCATCTAAAGAGCTTCTGTAAGATAGATTATTCACTTGTAGGGGGCTCGAAAGAGTTACAGCTTTCCACGCCGCAAAGAGTGATGTTGAGAGCCAAAGAGGCGGCACGAGCAGGAATGGCACGCTAGAGCAATTCTTATCCGAGCCCAATGATTGCGTTTCTTCCTTGCTTTCGTGTGAGCCTGTAATCAACCGTGTCCTGCGCACGCACAATCAAGTAGGCACTTTCAGAATCTAGAAAGCTTCCCGCTCCTTTCTACGGCCAGTGCCATAATTCACATACTCACCTTCTTCGCACCCTCATTCTTGGTGGCTTCAAGCACCCGCAGCCTCGAGCGGAGACGGAACACTTCTCCGCCCAGCACCGTCAGGTTCGCAAGCGCTGCCGCTATTTTCCGGTGCCATACGTCTTGCATTTCAGCCAGGTCCTTCTCGCGCTGCTCCGCCAAATACAGCCGCTGCGCCTCTTGGTCCGCCCGTTGAGCGCGCGCCCACTCGCTGCGGCTCTCCTCGTTTGCCTTCAGCTCCGCCACCAGCGCCGCGCACTGCGCCTGTATACAGCACCGCACAGGCTCGCTCGATAAGATACTCTAATTGGGGTGACATAGATTGATCGTTCCATAAGGATGTCTTGCCTAAGATCGGAATTGTCTGGTGGAGGACGGGAGCGACGATCCGACTTTTGCTGGTCATGCGCAGGGTGAAGCTGCTCTATGTCGAGCCTTGCTGTGTGCGGTTGTTTTTCTGGGCAAAAACCACAGAAGGTGCTTGGGTTTTTGATCTGCGTACCCCTGTGAAGTGCGAAGTCCAGATTTTCAGAGCTTACGCCGCGCCTAGTGCACATGGATAAACGACGAAATGACCGAAGAAATGATGATTGCCTTCTGACGCACCGAACAGCGTAGGGCAAAGCTTTCTCCTGGACAAGGCTTTGGCTAAGGAACGCTTTTGATATTTCAAAACAGCAGTTCAAAGAATCAACCGGGTGTTAGTCTATGCTCAACCTCGAAATCTGTATGACCGAGAGCGGCAAAGCAGAGCATTGGCTCTTTAGTACGCATGGCATCCTGGTTGAGATACTTCACTGCAGATCTGTCATCGCCCAAATCAACCGCAGATGGACGAGTGGAGCTCACCTCGGCCGCCTCCTTCTTAAGCGTCAGGTCATGGATGGCCTTCGCCGCCTCCGCATCGGACGTCAGGATTGCTCCAGTGGCTGCTGGGCCCTTCGTATTCTTCTGCATAAAACGTGAGAAGCTCTTCCTCATTGTTACATTTGGGCACAAAGGAAGGAAGAATATGACAGCCTATTTGTATAAGCTTCGACGCCATTTCCTTCTTTACGAACGCCTTCAAACAGGGAGCGGTTTCCACCGATCTCCCGCTTCCGTTCTGCTACTTCTAGACTTCAAAACAAATTCCGGTTCTGAAACGATGCACACAGCGTATTTCTGGTTCTGACACGGTTCTACAACTTTGAGCACAGTCGCCTCTCTTCAACGCTTTAAAAAGAGAATACATTTCACAAACATGGTCTCGCTTCCATTAACAGGAATGCTCAAAGCTTGCAATAGAATCTCGATGGTAAAGTCTGGCTCCTCTTTGCTTGTTTGAGTCACTTTATAACATAGAATTTTAGATAACCTGAGCAACCCACAAACCACTAAACCAGGCTGGTCGATAAAAGATTGATCGCGGAAATGCTCACCTTCTCCTTGAGCGCGCCGCTGGCCCCGGCCTGGCCCCCCTCGCGCTGCATCACCCCCTTGGCCGGGACCGGCGCTGACGTGGTTCCGGATTCTCCGTCGGCACCACTTCCGGGTCCGGTCTTGGGCGCCCCAAATGCCAGTGCTTCCCGGACTTGGACCTCCACCTGTTCGATTTCGGCCTCCAACAGCGCCAACTTCTTTTCCGCAGCGCTCGTCACGTCCGCCGAGATCTGTCCACCTTCTTCCTCGGCACCCGATTCGTCTGACTGCTTCTTCTTCCCCTTCGCGATCTCCATCCGTCTCAACTTTGCATCCGGACCATCGTTTTCGCTTCCCACTTCCTTCTCGACGACTACTTTTCTCGCATTTACTGCCGCCAGTCGCTCCTCCTCGTCTGCCAACCGCTTCACGACTACGGCCAACTTGTCCGCTGCCGCCGCCGCCTTCTCCTCCGCTTCATTCTGTGCAGCTTGCGCCAGCGTGCGCGCAGCCTCCGCCTTCTGTGCCTGTACAACGTAACAAGGCTTTGTGAAAACCTCCTTTGTTCTCTGGGATGGATCTGCGAATACTATCAAGGTGAAGAGGCAAAACTCTCGTCATCAACTTGGGTTTTCTTTGACGTTCAGAGACGATGTGACATCTGGGAATCAACCTGGGATGTTCATCAAAAGAATCATAGGCTTACCGGTTCTTAGTCATCGGTATTTATATGAGTGCTCTACTTCGTCGAAGAGCGCGATTTTGGAACCGGCTCGAATGTAAGAACGAAAGATCCAATAAGCAGGAGTCGGCTCTGAGAAGACGACTTGCTTTGTGAGCAAGATGGCATGCCAACTGATGAAGCTGGAGTCAGTGCATTTGAGATACCCAGAATCACAGTCTTAAGGACAGACGGACACGACTCTGTTCGGGAAATAGAGCACGATGTCCTCTGCTTGACCACGGTTGCTAATGGCTTCCTGTCTGCACACCATTCGTCGAGCGAGCCAAAAAACAGAATCTTCTGGGGCACTGATGGTCTGGAAGCACGAATCTCGTGGCACATAAGCAGTAGCAACACGCACAAAGGTTTCTTCAGATTGCCCACCTCAGCAGATTCTTGTGCCCGGATGGCCGCCACTTCCTTCTCCTTGTTGTCCAACTCTAGCGCCGCCAGCCGCAGCATCGCCTCGCGGGCGCGCAGGTCCTCCTCCGCCGCTTTCATCTTCACGTCCAAGTCCCCCAGCCTGACCTCCGCCTGTAGAAATAACACGTCTGCTGAGCACGAGGGTAGAATCATAAGCTGGTTACAGGGGTGCTGAGGTTCTTGGCCACGTGTCGACACGGGCTTAGGTTTTGACGTCGATTCGAAATGTTCATATTCTGCTTCGCGTTCGGCCTTATCCTATTCTAGCTTTCTCCTCACTCTTCCCAGATTGATTTTGTAAGATGTGCATCAGTTTTGCGGAGCAACAAAGAAGAGAACTCTCACGTCGAAATCAAAGGGTACAACACGATGACGTGCTCGCAAGTAGCACCGACACTTTGAGACGCGACTCGAACTCGTGCTGATTTTGCTGAAAGCTTCCTCTGAACCTCTTTTTACCCTATTCATTTTTCAGGATCTGGATGGGATATTCAGACTTGGGGTCCGCTCTGAAGCAAAGACGTTCACAAGAAGCAAACGCGACACGCCGGGCTGGCGCCTGTGAGTGGCTGCGTGCCTTACCTCCTCCCTGAGCTTCTCCTCTTCGCCCGTCAGGTTGTGCGCAAAGATCTCGCGGGACCACGTCGCGAGATCTGAGTCCGCGTCTTCCGGAAGCTGCAGACGAGCAGATCTTGAGTCAATGGTGACTATCTGGTCTCCCAACTAGAGCGAGAAAGAATCTTCCTACTGAATGCTGACGGTAGGGGCCGAAGACAGCTCGAGTGATACATTAGTAGCCATGCTTTCAAGTAGCATGGCCTTTCCTGTCGCAGATTAAACGCCAGGGGCTCAACTGATTGACCTTAGAAGTTTGGCAATGCAGACCGCACAGGACAAATGTTCATCACCAGTACACGTGTTTTTAGACACCCTGAACCTGCATGTATCTGGCAGCTGCTGACGTCATGGGATTTTTAGCGCACATTTCGAAAAGATTCGAGAGACAACCGCACATTTCAATCAGCCTCGGTCTGTGCATTTCGTTCAGGCAGCAATGGGAACGATCCAAAGGAGTACTTGCCAGAAAGTCGAGCGAGTGGCGGCCGAGCGGGAGGACGCCGTGGGAAGCGATTGGCTCGCGTGAGACGGCTGCGGCGGCGGTGGAAGACGTCGCCAAAGCCGGCGCCGGGCGGGCACTGGGCGGGGAAGCCAGGGCTGATGCGGCCGCGTGTGGGGCGGGGCCGCCCGCGATCAGGCCGAACGCCGGCTGCACCGCGACGCCGCCAGCCGCGGTCCCAGTCCTGCTGCTTTCCGTCGAGGCACTCTGCCGGCCCTTCTGCAGGCAAAAATCGGAATTTGAGAGGCTTACTGGGAGCTTGAACCTATGGAGAGACTCGAAGGAAAGCAACTTTTATAAATTTTGAAACGGAACGGAAAGTACCCTTTAACTGTTGAGTTGTCAATGCCTCCACGGTTTTTGACGTTTTCCTTCCCATCCCATCCAGGACACCTTTAGCAAGAAAAACAGTTTAGAAAACCTAAAGCACCCCCAAAAAACTCGGAAAGATTTCAACCTTCCAGCCCTCCTTCTTGACCTCAATCTTTATAGCACGATTAGCCTTTTTCTGGCATCTCGACATCCTGTGCCAAAGCTTTCAAGGGGGCCATATTTACTGGAAATTGGAAGATTATCTGCATTTACCACACAAAAGTACTCAGATAATAAGATAACATTCAAACAAGTCATCCAATCAATTTCTCACACTTTTGAAAAGGTTCTTGCAAAACCAAGCTTGCGAAATTGCCACCTACCTTCGATCCATTCGCAGGGAGCAGCTCGCCCTTCCGTGCAGTTGTTGAGCGGGACGCCGCCTTGCTGGCCTTCGTCGAAAGGTCTCCCGGCGACTTTGCTCCCAAGTCAGAGGCAGCGGTTGGGCTGCGGAAGGAGGTGGATGTCGCCCTGGCCAGCTTGGGGGTGGAATCTGAGGCCGCGGTAGAACTTCCCCGGCGCGAAGGAGGTGAGGCGGGGGAGCCGGCTGCGGTGCTCGACGCCCGGGCGCGCGAGACAGAGGGAGGAGGCGGGGAGAAGGTAGGGACTCTCCGTGCAGACGGGGGTGCGCGAGCAGACAGTGTGTTGGCTGGAGTAGAAGTTGGGGGGGACAACGTGCGAGCGCGGACCGTGGAGGAGGCGGTAGGGGAGAATGCGCCCGAAGTCGCAGGCGCGCGCGTCAGGGGGCGCCCGCGTGCCGGGGGAGATGACACCTAGAGTAGAGCGTGATCGTCAGAAATTCCTGCAGATTATGATAAAAGATTTTTATGAACGACACATTTCTGAAAAACGACGTATCAAGAAGAGTGCTCTGATCTGGGCCAGCTGCTTTCAGTATATTGGCTGCGTCTGCGCAGATCTGGTTGTAGGATATGCTGAATCACTTTGCAGTGCTTCTCAAAAGTTTGAATGCATAAGAGCAACCTACTGTCCTCCACTATGTGACAGCTGACGTGGAGATTCTGGGTCGATGATGTGCTTCAAAAACATTTATCGTGGTGCTTGAGACATTTAACCTGAGAGGAACAGACAGGTATCAATGATAACTTTCAGAACGAGCATAATGGTTTTGTGCATCAACACCTGCATCAAATCACTACATCAGTCTCCAATCAGCCAACGATCATCAAAATGATCCTCGAGACTTGAATATGGGCCCTTCGTAGCGTCTCTTATAGTGGTTCTGGTATCGATGGCTTTGAAGAAACACGTGTACTGCAATGATCCCAGCTAACAGGCAAGACAGAAGGATCCCTATGCTTTCCTAAGCTGCTTCGAAATTCAGCACCTCGAGATTTCAGAACGCGACACTCCTCCGAGGATCTTTCGGAATTGCAGTAGCTTCTGCAAAGCCTTGTAGATTCTTCAGGCCATTGCCTAATGAAGCTCTGTTGTTGCCTTCGAACCCCCTGAATTGTCTGATTGCGAAATGAAATCAACAAGCAAGGTTTTTCGAAGGCCTCACAAACCAATTGAAGCAAGGATGTAAACAAATTTTAATTTGCTAGAGGCACCCAGAAAGCACACTTTCCAAGGGCACAAAAACGATTGACACCTCCAGACCTCTTGCTATTTTCTATATCTTACGAGCAAGTGACTTGCCTGAGTCTGCTTGGCCCTAACAGATCCAGTCTGTGGCTCCATCCTTGCACGAGATGAGGTATCCCCCTTGACTTTCTTCACTTCTTCAGAGCGGCTTGGTATCACGATGTTCTTCATTTCTGCTTCCTTGCACACAGAAGGAGTAAGCAGTTGAAATAATTTTGGGATCCAAATTGAGTCAATTGAATCAAACTGCAGTAAGTTTCATGCATCTTCTCATATGCCACTCAACTGCGGAATCTGCAGAATCTGCTAAATCTACATGAGCGTGTAACATGCAGAGAAGCAGCAAACTCTCTGAAATCTGGCATGAAATTTCAGACCCCGTGCCCAATGTCCAACCTAACTTCCACAGTCTACCATAATCCTGCTTTGACTGATCTACCTTTCAGCCCCATCCTTATCTGTCCAAGATGCCAAGTTTAAGCAGAGTCGAAAGAGCAACCAGGAAACCATGCAACTGACCATCCACCTAGAATCTGCAAGAAGTGAGAACAGGCAAGAATTTTAGCTTACCTCCAGGTCCTGAAGGAGGTCTGCCAGATCTTATTATGATGAAAGCAAATCAACTGCCAAGACCTCGCGCGCCTTTTGGGCAGAACAGGTTATCTAGTACTTGCTGTGAAGAATGCACGAAGAGCGAGATAAGTGCAAGCCGCATCTATCGAAGCACTAGCTCTCAGAATTGGTACCAAGGGCGGAAGTTCGGAAAGGAACCCCGGGCAAAGATTGCTCAACCTCTGAACCAATCTGAATATTGCCTAGAGGGACAAAAAGAGGCCTCGCTCACAGAGCTTTCCTTCCGCTTCAGCCTTCGAAATGCTTTCCAAGTTGCCGCCTAGATAAAGAGCTAAGATATCCTCGAAGGTCTGACGGTGAACTCTTTGAAGGAGGACCGGATCGTCCCTGCGCTGGTTGGTGGGTTCCAAGCGACCACTTAACGGAAGCTTTGCCCTTCGTCACAATTTGCATTGAGGTACTGCTTCGAGCAAGCGTTTCAACTCGAACATTCCTCGGTTCTTCACGGTTCAAGATGACAATCACCAGTTTCAGTCATTGCCTGCCACCAGGCTCTCGTGTGCGCAATCAAGGTCTTCCCTCGCAACCAATCAACCTTCGCCACGTTGTCCGCAGTGCGCGATATCCAAGATTTGCAAAATCATGGCTAGGTGCTAGCAGTTTCCGCAGACTCTCAATAGGTCTCTTCAATCATGTTGATGCTTGTTGAGGGCGATATGTCTTTAAGCTGCAGTCCGCAGACCAGATATTGCAGGCGGGTAAGCGCGAACTGGCGTCTGGCAAACGGCACTGCAGAACCCTCACCGCAAGGCCGTGCTTGCTGAGAGCTGTAGGCGAAGCGCCTGAGAACCTTGCACGAAGTGTTTCATTTTCTTGCTTGCGCTCGTCGATCGTCTGATGTTCGAGATACCATGAAACATCGCAATATCGGGGGCCTTAACAGTGTGAAGCTTTTGTGCACTGGATCCTTGATATGGCCTCTCAGTGCATCGACCATCTATAACAGATGTAGAAGAAGTCCATGCTTTCAATACAACGTGATGCACAACCGACAAACAGCAACGCGACATGGACAGCTGCATGCCAAGGATGCGCGGTTTATTTTTCACATCTGCATGTCCAGACTATATTCAAGCTCATAGAGCCAACCGTCCGGATTAAATTGCATGAAGCTAGAAAGATGAAAATCGAGGATCCAAAAGCAAGAGTGCATATACAATAAGGCCCACGAAGACTTCGGCCGCCGCGTTAGAATACGTCGGACCTTTCTTTGATGTCTGCCCGTCATACATGCAATGAGAAAGAACCGCGGACTTATTATAATCTGGCTTTAAGTAGTACCTCCGCAGGGCCAGTTCGCTTGTTTCGTCCTGATGCTCATAAAATCCGCCATGCTTGCGGTACGTTTCGACTCGTGACTTCAAGTAAAGCGAGTGATTGACTCCAATACATGCGTTTGGACTTCCAGTTTTAGAAGCACACTAAATGATTGTTCCGCACGTTTAGTTCCGGTAGCAGCTGAGGTGGGTCAAGCCGAATTCTAAGGCTTCATTGAGGCCGCCGCCTTCGTCCACTTCGCAATACGTGCCCTCGTCTGAATGTTTGGGGTAGCCATTCGCAAGTCAGTGACAACTTTAGACCGCTTATCTCTGTCTTTAAATACCTACGGAATTAGTCTTCAGGAGCAGTTGCCGCTGCTCCTTCCTAGATTCCTACCATTTCCGTGTACACAGTACGCTGGCAGTTTGTCCAAAATGAAGTCAGGAAGCTTTCCTTCCAGAGGCGCAGGCTCGCCATCTTCTTCCTGATGGTGGCAACTGCAAAGCAGAGGATGGCGAGGCTCTGTCAGGACGGCTGGCCTTCTGAGAGAGGCCTCACCGGGTTTTTTAAAAATGAAAATGGGTCCCAGGTTCATGAGCAGACAAATAGGGGAGTTGCCCTCGAGCAGATAAACGGACGAATCGTTAGCTCCTTGAGCGAACATTATCTCCACACTGAGTGAGAGCAGCAGGAAAGGAAGTTTTCTGTCACGAAGCCCCTCGTCGAGAGCACACCAAGACAGTGTTCGGCGTCCGGTCTCTGGTTCCCGTGAGGCTGAGTCTGAAAGCTACAGCGCCTCCGGTTTGTTGAGCAATTAATGTTAACGAGGGAGAAGAGGCCAACGGCCAAAGCGACTGTGAACGTTGCCAAGTTGAATGAAAGGGGTTCCCGACATGACTGCATTTCGGCAGCTTCGCTCACTGTTCGCTGTTCCTAAAACATGTCAGACACAGAAGTTTGGGCAAATGGACGACGAACTGCATCTCTGTCCGTTGACAATCAGCGAGCTCCCAAGTCTCACCACGTTCTCGTCGAGCCTCCAAGGCGCCCACGTGCTCCTTCGCTTGCACCACGGGCTTGCACGTGGCAGAAATAGAACAGTAATGATTACGTTCCGCTCTTGCTGTAATCTCAAAATAATTTTGTAACGGTCCAGGTCGCTTCTGATAGGTTCTTACAATTCAGGTCGTGTTTGGAGGATACATCTCTTAATTAATTCAGCGCTAGAGCGCCGTGCTGCTGAAGAAAGCTCGTGTTTCCAAGTACTGTCCTTTCCAAGGGCAGAAAGACTTCTTTCTTTCATGGCCCCGGCATCGGACTCCATAAGTGACAAGTCGCGCGCGGCGCACCAATGGTTGAACGCCTTGTTGTAAGCCGGCAAAGATTTGTCCAGAATCCAGTAAGCGCTTGACCGCCACAATACCAAAGAGGATATGTCGAAAGCGAAGACTGTGATGAACGACTGTTCAACCTGCACACGAATTATCTTCTTCACTTGGCATTCATGACGACGATATCGTAGAAGCAGAAGCCACGGTCTTTCTGCTCATCTCTGTCAGAGCGCTCTACCACTGCGCAAGGGTGTCGAGGCGAACTTTTGCGAGGAACTTTTGAAGCCCAAGTCTTAGTACGTTGATTTCCGGAGTCTGAAGCGCTTCACCTGGACGAGAGGACGGCTTATCTACAAGACTGCGGCACTGTGTCCATCGCCAGCGGCAGAGCTGCAGCGCCACCTGCTAGAATGCCTCGTCCTCCAGAGCGATCGCGTTCGGTTCTACCTAGCCCTGAACACTGCCTCTATGCGACAGCGGCGACCTGGTTCCAAAGGGCAGAAAGGGGCCCCCAGCTTGGCACGGCTGTGCGCTGTGTGGGCGTGCCTGCACAGGGTTTTGTAAGGCAATAGATAATGGGCAATACTGTTGTGGAATGGTCGCTCGAGACGTCTTACTCGGTATGAAAGGTGATCGCTCTGCAGAGTGGTCCACTCCTCAGGGAATCAGAGACGGAAAAGCACTTCCGAGGGGTTTTGAAGCAGAATTGGATAAGATGTCCTCTCTTAGCGAACAAATGTACGGCTGCGAGGGTATAGAGATTGACTTATCTTGGCAATTACAAAGACATTTGACGACTTCAGAGAAACCGAAAAAAACAAAAGATCGATTGAAAAATGAAGACGTTGAGTATCGGAGCAAACCCATGGTGGGCAGCCTTGGCGAAGATTACGGCAATGAAGCCCAGGATAGCTCAGCATGTATTAATGCAAGAGGAATGTTCCCTGCCCCAATCAGTGTCGAGACAACGGCACTTCTGCTCACTGACAACCATGCTCATAGGTCGCGAGATGATTGTGTCTATTGAGGACCGAAAAGGAAGAACAAGCTTACAGTCAAATGCACTAACGCTGCATGCAAATGGTTCCAGCAAGGTCCACACGAGCTGCTTCAGAGTGCTCTTTTCGCAGACCCTTGCGCTGTATGCTGCCGGTGGACTTAGGCGGAGCGAATCGTGAGACGACGTGCAAGCGGCAGCTGGAACCGCCACGCTGCGACTTCCATGTGGCTTCCTCACCTTGCACATGGGCAAATCCGCGAGTATCTTGATTGCGCCTAAGGGGTTGCAAGCACGTGCCTGCGCTAGCCCCGATTTGACCTGGAACAACGCCTGGGCGAGCATTCCAAACACGCGAAGCTGACCTGCAAGAATATCAACAAATTAGCAGTTATGCTTGAGCTGCAAGGTTCTACTGTGGGCTCTCTATCAGCTGCACTGGGAGGGGCTTGCTGAAGTGTGTCAGCGCAATCGTTGACTTATACTCATTACTGCCCTTTTCCCTGCCAAGGCCCTGCCCTCTCAACCTTCTCATTGAAGATGGTTTTCTGTGGGGCAATCAAACAGCTCGCAACGAAGGTTATGTTTCACGCCATTCATGACCCGGAATCACGTCCTCATTCCTGGGGCCTCTGTTCTGGGGCACAGAAATGCTTGGAAGCATCAAGCATTTGCGGGTATGGCGAGGACTACATGCCAAACTGCTGCCTGAAAACAAGGCAAGTCGACGACAAGCAAAGGTGAGACTCTATCCAGAACAAAAAGCGGTCCCGATTTTATGCTGGCCCGCCCGAAGGACTCGCAATGGCCGGCCTCCTGGAGAGCTAAATTGCTGAGGTCATCATCACGCCCATCAACCCGCGCCGCCTGTCAAGTGCCGCCCACCTCAACATTGCTGACGTCATCACCGCCATTTTCCTGCTCTTGCCTGCTCAAAGTGCTGATCACATGACGAGCTTGGGAAGCCATGCATGGGGAGGTGGCTTTTCATGAAACACGGAACTGCTTGAGGGTAATTGGCTTTTTGAGAGATCTGCAGATGCACGGAGAGGACACTGGTGTGTAGCTCGCACCAATGCAGCTTGTCCTGAGGAGGGGGTCCCGTGACGGCTTGTGCATCACAGGCGGCCCTTCAGCTGGTGGGATAGAAGCAAGATGTGAGTGTGATGCACATACTAGACTGTCTACTATTTAGGACTTTGTCCACCCTCACCTGAGGCGTTGGCCTGGCAGGGTCCATTCTTTGCGCTTTTTGAGACGGCGCTTGGTCCACTAGGCCGAGCGCGAGTGGGCGGGGATTCCATGCGCGCCACCGTGTTGTGCTTTTCTGTTGGAACACCAGATGGAACAGAGCCTAAAGGTTGAAGGTAGACCAAGCGCAAAGTTCTCCCTGACCTCCATTTGGTCCATATTGCATTTCCGGCCAAAAGGAGGGATCCCCTAACAGAGTGGAAGGTGACGTGTCCCATGTTGGTCACTGTCAACCAATCCGAGTCATCCGATCCTGTCTAGGTGGCACCTCTGGTACCCACCGTAACAGCTTGCTTGCTAAAATGGTACCGTACCTTCGGTACCCTCTGCGCGAGGCCAGGGCACCGACTTTGAGCCGCACTGAGCCTCACTGCCCTCAGGATGAGATATAGAGGCAGCTGCAAAGTTGCTTCTTCACAACTTTCACTTCCTCGGAAGCAAGTTGTGTTTTAGCGCTCTGGCGCCCAGGCGATCTTTGGCGATCAGCGATCAGCATTGTGCGACCAGCTTTCAGTGGTCAGCGTTCAGCGACCAGCGATCTCTGTAGGGGCTAGGAGAGTTTAGGAGATAGAGCGCTTCCTGCTCCAGAGCATTCCATTGCTCTGCAGCATGGCCGCGTTTGTGGCAGGCCTGCTTGGTATGAGCCAGCAGGAGCTTCGCTTTCGCGTGCAGCGAGCGAACCATATGACAGTTGCTCCTCTCCTGAGCCTCTTCCACTCTGTCTCTCCCCTCCTAGGACTGACACAGAGCTCGTCTGACCTTCCTGCCTCTGAGGAGTCTCTCTCTCCCTCCCCCTCTTCTGAGTCTGCTCAAGGTTTCAAGGGCCTGGATGGCGAACAAACTCACGCAGATTCAGACGCCCCAGCCCTGGCCTCCCCCCGCGCTGACACGATCTCAGTTCTTGAACTGACAAAGGGAGAGCCCCAGATTGGTCTTTGTGAGCAGGGCTTGTGCGGCAGGGGTCAGGCGCTGCCTCAGGGTGAAGAGGAGGAGGGGAAATTGCAGAGGTTTTGTTCAGGGGAGGGCTTGGGGGAGGTCCCCTCACATGAGGGGGGGGATGAGGATGAGACGTTGGGGGCAGGGCTTGCGGCGGCAGCTACTGTGAGGGCAGGAATGGAAACCAGCATTGTGCAGCTTGACCAGGGGTGCTTGGCTCAGATTATCTCGCAGATGGATCTGTCGAGCCTTAGAGCATGCTCCCTGGTCTGCCGCGACTGGCTGGAAGTCTCGAGCTCTGCACGGACATCCGTGACTCTGCGCAACGGCCCTCAGATTGCTGCCTTCCCCAAGCTGGTTGCCCGCTTCTCAAGAATCCACACGCTGCACGTTGAAGGGCGCGCCCCGGCAGACGCGCCCTCTGTCTTGTCTCTGGACGATGCTGTGATGGAGGTCCTTGCACAGAGCTGCGGCTGCCTGCGTGAGCTGCGGCTGAAGTACTGCTCACTGTCTGACGCGGGCCTTGCTGCGGTTCTGAGGGGCTGCCCCGAGTTGCTCGTGCTTGGCTTGGCTCACAGTGAGGGGTTCTCGGGGGAGGCATTCAGCGGCCTGTGCTGCAAGTTGGAAAAGCTGGAGCTGAATGTCTGCGAGGGGCTTACGAATGAGGGGTTGGTGGTGGCTGCGGCTGCCTGCTCTGGTCTCAAGGACTTTGGTATCTATACTGCGCAGCCGAACAGATCTCTGGAGCAGGGGGTGGAGGCATTCTCAAAGGCATGCCCTGGACTGAAAGTGTTTGCCGTCCACGCCTGTCGGCTTACTGATGAGGCCCTGCAAAGAATTGCCGCTAGGTGCCCCCTCATACAGCAGATCAGTGTCACGTGCGAGTATTACATCACAGACAGGGGGCTAGACGCCTTCCTGGCCCTGCTCCCTCGTGTGCACACAGTGACGCTGCAAAAGAACCGCGCGGTTTCTGGCATCCCGCAATTCGGGTAAGTTCCAAGTTGGACGAGTAAGCCCTTCATCTGTCTAGTCGATGGATTAATGTAGGCCTCGAGTTGCTGATGATCATATTTAGATTTCCACTTGCACACCGTGTGTTGCATGAGGCAATCTTATGGTAGTCCCATGGTACTTCCTTCCTAGTGCTTTCACAATCTCAGCCGTTTCAGAGTGCTGGCTAATCAACAGGGTTTCAAGTTGACAGACAGATTGTATTTCTCATCTTGATTCAGCATTGGTTGCTCAGCATTCTTTGTGTTTGTGGCAGGTCCAACCGGTGCTTGAGACGACTTCGGCTAGGTTGGTTGTGCACGACGCCCGACGAGGTCCTTAAAGGGTTAGCTAATCAGGCTGGCCTTGAGGAGCTGGTTCTGATATGCTGCCCCTTTCTCACGGACGCCACCGTTGAGAAGATTTTGACGTGTTGCAAGAAGCTGACTTGGTTGATGCTTCACAGTAGTAAGCTTGTCACTGCAGAGACTGTCAGTGCATACATCCGGTGCGGCAGCAAAGCCAGGCTAGAAATTAAGCGTTGCTCGGGTATGAAGAAAGGAGCTCTAGGGCAGGATGTCTTAAAATTGAAGAAGCTTCAGGTGCAATGCTTCTGACACGATAAACGCCTGGAGTAAATTCCCGACATCTGAAAATCAAGGAAACCTGAACTTTGACATTTGTTTAAGCTCATGAGGCATGTGTACATATGAGGATTGTCTTGAACGCTTGTGTGCACAAATATAGTCGTAGGTATATGTGCTGCATCCGACGTTATTGCGATATCCTTGGATGATATACCATTGATGTGATCGCTGGCCATGACTTCGATCTAATTTCCATCGAGCGCTCCTTGGATACGATCCTATTTCTACAATGTAAAACACTTCTGCATGCATAGTTTCCCATGTGAATCTGCTGTCTGGGCCAATTTCAATTGCGCTTGCCGCAGTTCATGTGCGTGATGGCAAATATTAAGGTCACCAGATTTTGCAAGATCGTTGGCAACCGGTCAACTGTGATATGGTACTTAAAATGTTGCGAGATTAGAACCAACCGCGGCTGCAGCTCTGGGTGCCCCATATACCATGGAAGCAATACAAAGAAGAAAAGATGACAGTTCTGCTTCTGAGATTATACTGGAGCTCCATACCCTTAGCACGAATCAGCCAAGGCGTTTAGTGCCGCCATATGCACGATGCGAGCAATCTGACGAGCGCGTATGCTTCCAGAAGATGACCGTTACAAACGTGCTGGCCCTTTTACGAAGTGCATCGTTACATTTCGAGGAAGTAGATCGTACAGATGCTTGAATCTTGTTGTGCTATTGCCCAAGTTTATGGACACTACGGCGCGAAAGTTAGCGGCAAATCACTTCCCGACGCCTCCTTATCCATTGGGGTAGCCAGCTTCACGACCTGCAAGAGTATCCAGGAACCATTATGGATTTGAGACTGAAGACAATGGTATTGCAATCTTTGAAAGAGCGTCGGATGACCGGTACCCTCAGGGATTTTAAAACATGGAAAGCTCCTTTAATTGTTGCTGGAGAAGCCACGTGCATTCAGATTTCCAACCGATCTGAATGGCGACTCGTTTCTATACAGTGCTCGCAAAGCTACACCAAAAAACGAATCTCTGAATATCAATCAAGCGACACTACTGATAGCACCCACGGCCAGAAAAGTGGGAATGCATCGGATTATAACGTGAAGAGAGTGTGGTAATCTTTTCTCCTTTACTAACGACAAATGGTGCACATACCTCGGCCTCGAGTGACTGAATGGTCAGCTGCTGTTGCTTCACAGTCTCTTTGAGATTCTCTACGTCCTGAAGTGCGGCGTCGAGCTTCGTCTGCAACTGCAGGCGCCTAAGCCGGCTTTCCTCGGCCCACGTCTCTCTATCCAAGTCGTGCCGTTCCTTCTCCTTCTCGCTCTCCTGCTTGAGGGTCTCGATCTCTTCCTGTTAAGAACACGAGACGTGTTTGAAAGTGAATGTTTTCAAAGCCTGGCATTGACTTGACGGTCCGTCGGATGGCCTCGCGGTCAAGTACGAACGAACGGAGCCTTTCACGACGCGCTTGCTGAAAGAATTGAGCTCGCACCTCTTTGAAGCTTTAGACCAATACTTCCAGGTTTTCTGTCGCAAAATTGTTCAGCGATAACAATCTGCAGTAACATACTCATAGCTACGGGACCCGGTACTTCCAGCCAAAAAGTCAAACTGTGCTCGTAAAACTTCACCGCGTGCTATCAGTCCACCTTTTTTTCTGAAGGGGGCGCTCTGACTGATCACACGAACTTGGGATCTGAGCAAATATGTTTCAGGGTTCGACGCAGTCTCACGGATGAATCCCGAACCTTTTTGACAAGAATCAGAGCTTTGCTTGATTCACTAATCAACGGATCTTTCAGCGATGAGCGACTAAGGCCCTCAAGTCAACTCCATTGATTTGCCCTTTGGTGGGTCTCTCTGCTTGTCGTTCTGGCAATTCCGTTTTCGAAACGAAGCAAGGCAGCTTCTTGAACAGATTGACAGATATAGGCCGTCTTGGCAGTGGATGCAGGTGAAAGTCTCAATCCGTGTGATGTCTAGGGCCTTGGCCCGAGAAGGCATGTGACACCAGGCTCTAGCCTTTCAACTGACCGTAGAAAATCAAGCCCTTTCGATTCGGATCTTTTGCCCAGCTTTTTAGCACCTACCTCTCAACAAAGAGGAGTCGTACGCTTTATGCTTTGTCTTGGTAGATTTCCCACCACTCATCCGAATCAGAGAAGGTTGCATACTTTACACTTAAAGAAGCAGCAATAAAATGCCTTTCATAGAATCTCACCAGCAGGCTCGCGACCGTCACCCGCAACGTGCTTGCTTCGCGGCGGGTGGCTCTGAGCAGCGCGGCCGCGACGTCCTCCGGCTTCTTCGTTGGAGAAACGGGCGACTTCAGTTCCTGCAGCCAAGCCACGACAGAGCTTGAAAATCTAGAGAAGATAAATCGACATTCTTCTTGAAATGTTCCTCAAACGCACACGGCTTCCGAGCTGAGGAAGCACTTGGTGAGTGCCGATACTCTCGGTTGTTTCCGAGATTCACAGAGCGTTTTTCCCGAATGGATCGCTCGCCACCAAGCATGATTCCGGACAACATGAGGACCATATATCAGATGGCGATCGGATGACAGCATTCGGGTGTCATCTCACAGAAAAGTAGGCTGCACCAAGACCTTGGGACCACTCTGAATGCTCTGGAAGTGGAGCTACGTCAGCGGGTTCTTGCGGTGACGTCAACTGCTTCTTCCCTTCTCGGGGTGCATCTCCTTTGCTCGCGCTCCGCGCGTGTCCTTGCCCACCCCCCTTCCGGCCCACTCTCGTCCTATGGCGCGCGCGAGGTCCATCTTCGCATCCTTAAGCTTTTTGTTTTTCTCCTCCACCTCGTTCTCCACGACCCTCTGAACCTCCATCATTGTGTGATCGTCCCCTTCCGCGACCGCGAGCATCACTTTGCCGTTTCGCAGTCCCTTCCGGATGTCCGCCGTCTCATACCCCACCTGACTCAGGCCCTCCTTTGCCTGCCCGATCTTTGCAACTGCTGTCTCAGCGCGCGCAGCTCCTTCACCCCCTGCTTCCTGCCCTTCGACCGCAAGCTTCTCAAAGATGTTCTGCACGGTAGAGATCCCCCCTGTCTTTTCCCCGCTTCCCTTGTTGGCTTCCGCATCTGGCGCAAGCGGCACCTTGCCTTGTGCTTCCGAGGCTGCCCGTCGAGAGTTGGCGAGCATGACCTTCTGCTCGATGTCCGCCAGCTCCCGTTCCTTCTGGTGAAGATCCTCGTTTGCCGCCAGCAGCTTCAGCTTCGTTTCCGCTTCCGCTGCTTCCGCTAGGTCCGCCTGCGGATCAATCCTGAGTCTCAGCATCAAAAAGGCCTTTTTCCTCGACTTCTGCGACTCTAGATCCGGATTTGAGAAGCCTTCAAACCCTCCAGTGTGAAATTCAAAACAAGGTATTTTCAAAATTGCTGAAGAGTGGATGCTAAAAAAGCCGTCAGAATACCAAAACAGCCTCACGGCCACCCTCGAGATAGTTTAATCAGCCCATTGACACCAGTACTGGAACAGTCTGCTCCATCATCTTTGATTTAAGGCCTGATGATGTATCAAAGAGAACTGCGTCTGCTTTTCTGCATTCCTACTCAGCAGCGAGCTTCTGATTTGTTGACATCCCATTGACATGTTTGGACGAAGCTGTAAAGTGGCGAGACGAACCTCTGCTTCTGTCTGCTGCTGAAATACAGGCGATGTTCTTAATCGAACTTCCGAAGATAACCTCTTGTCTCTGAGAGGTAAAAGTGGCCTACTCTGAATCTGACATGTCCTTCGAGACGAAAACAAAATTCATTTTCAGAAAGCTGGGAGAACGCCACGAGATTTTGCTATTGAATCCTCACCGACTCCTTTGCGGCTTCAATTTTCCACTTCAGCTCCTGCAGTTCCGTGTCCAGCCCCCAGACTTCCACCGACTTGACGTCTTCAGTAGCGACCTGAAGAGAAAAGTAGCCTACTTGCATCGAAAAAGGTTCACGTAGAAGTTATTGAGATGGTGAAAAGGCCAGATGAAAGGTCTTCCAAATCCTGCTAGTCAGCAACACTGAGGAGCCGATTCACCTCTGACGGCTTTGCAGACTATTCGCATTAGGCAGGTTGCCGGAGTCATTTCCTTTGGAGCATGGCATGATGAACCAACAAGATCTCGAGCTTATAACAAGCACTGAAACTTACGTAGAGATCTAGTGAGTCCCGGGAATCCTGGCCATGCTCCAAACGGAAGGTGTCCCGCGTCTCTTCCCCCGCCTTCTTCTCCTTCGCCTGCGGTCCGATCGCCAGGCCCTTCCCCGTTTCGCTTCCGGCCTTACGCTCTTCGCAGAAGCCTCTCTTCCGCTCGTCGCTCGTCGCTTTTCCGCCCTTCCGCTCGTCCGGTCTTCCCCCGGTTGTTGACGAGTAGAGGGCCGCCTTGATGCCTTTTGTCGAAAGGCCTCCCGGCGACTTCGCTCCCGGGGCAGAGGCGGTGCTCGGCGTGCGGAACGAGCCGGTGGGAGAGGTGGCGGGCGCGCGGAGGGACTTCGAGACCTCGGAAGAACTGGGCCGGCGCGTTGGGGGGGAGGTGAAGGACCCGGTGGATGTGCTCGAGCCCAGGGCGCGTGATACCGACGGAGGCGGGGAGAAGGTTGGGGCTCGGAGTGCGGACGAGAGTGCGCGAGCCTCGTGTGTGTGCGCGGGAGTGGAAGTAGGGGGGGACATGGTGCGGGCACGGGCGGTGGAGAAGGGGCCGGGGGAGAGGGCGCCCGAAGTTGAAGGCGCGCGCGTGAGGGGGCGGCCGCGTGGCGGGGGAGACGCGACCTAGAGTGACGCGCAATTGTGTCAGCTGTTTGAAATGGAAAACTTCTGAAAGCTACGCCCCCTGTGAACAAGGACCTGACCATCGAAAAATTCGCGAGGAAATTGTCGCACTCGGAGCATGCTCCCTGAATAGCGTCCTGATCCTAATGGAAGAAATTTGAAAAAGACACGTGTCCGGAAACAAATGCATGAAAGGAATGCTTTGATCTGGGCTAGTGGACCTCACTCGATTCTGCATATGCCAGCGCAATCTTGGATACCAGGGAGTGTTGAAGTTATCTGGAAACCTTGTCAGACCTCAGTGTGCATGTCTTCCAAGCTATTGTCCTTCTGTTCGTTGGTAAGTTGCTACGGTGAATCTAGATAGTTTGCTGCGACGGAAAAGCTCAGCATAATGTTGAGAACAAATGAGTGACCGAGAGGAACCGACGGAGTCTTTGGTTTTATATTGAGCGGATACATGCATACCGCTTATCTGAGCCCGAGAAACCAACTGAGATAGAACATGGTTTCTTTCCCAAGACTGGAAAGGCTGCTCAGAACAGTAGCATATTCTCTAATGCTTCAATAGTATCAGTTAGATGTTTCTGAAGAAAGATTTCGCCAAAATATAAAATCTACAAAGGCAAATCAAAGCAAACCCTTCAACATATTTGAGCAGCTTTGAAGGTTTAGCAGGTGAGTCTCGAGTCCTCCGCATATCACCTGGACTTGCAGTCTCTTCTTCAGGCGAGCTATTGAGCATTTTGAAATCCTTCTTTTTTTGAAGCTCTAAGGTTGCCTTGAACTTCTCAGACCTTGGTGGATAGATCCTCCAAGTCTTCCAGATATATTGACGCTGAGATCATCAGAGCTAATCTGCCAGCGGCACCGTGAGAGCACGTTACTGGGTACAAGCTACTGGCACCTCTTATCCCTGCCTCTTGAGACTTTTCTAAGCAAATCTCCAACTTTCCCAAACCAGAGACTTGCCTTAGATGTTTTGGCCTTCAAGGAAGTAGTCTTTTGTACCATCTTCTTGTCGGGGGACAGAGTATTGCTTTCCTTCTTCACACCCTTCTGGGAGCTTGTGGCCATGTCCTCCTTCTGATTCGCTCAGCTTTCCTTGCAAATGACGGCATGAAACAGTCTGAGGATTACGAGAAGCAAACTAAATCCATTAAAGCCAAAGGGCATCCCATTGTGATGGATATCATCAGCCTGCCAATGATTCCATGCTGTAGACTCCTTCCAAGGAAACAAGGAACCTAGATAAGACGATGCAAAGAAAACGAAACTCTCTGAAAACATACATCGATTCCTGACTCCTGTCCAATGTTCAACCCAACTTTTGCGGTCGTCTGCCAAAAGCCTGCTTTGCGTAAGCCACCTTGCAGCCCCATTGGTATCTGTTCAAGAAGACTTGAAAGTGCGATGAGGGGGCCATGCAGATAACAAGTCAAGAGATATGCAGGACAATTGACGAAACAAGAGCTTTGGCGCACCTTTGAGACTTGTAAGAAGGTTGCCACACTCACTATGATAAAGCTCTTCTAAGCACTAAGATTGAGGCGAATGGACGAAATGAGAGAGACGGCGATCTGCTTCTATCAAAGCACGAGCCTTCAGGGTTTCTGCGAAGTAGGTGGACACTCAGCGCAAGAAGAATGAAACTGAGCTTTAAGAAATCCTCACGACTTCCTTGAACCAACCTGCTGCTTCTCAAAGGAATCCGTCTTAGATCGAAAAAGACCTCGCTTACAAAGCTGTCCCTCCGCTTTAGCCTTCAGAGAGCCTTGCCGCCGCCAAAGTTGCTGGTGAACCTCAAGAACTGTTCATCGAGATCAGCCGATGACCTCTTTCAAGGAACATTCAATTCTTTTCCCTTCGCTGGTTGGTTGTTTCCAACCGACCGTTTCATGGGAGCTCTTTGTCACAAAGTTCAGTCAAGTAATCCAGCAAACGGTTCGACTCCAGGATTCCTCGGTTGTTCGTGTTTCGTGGTGACAATCCCCGGGTCTCAGTCACCGCTCACCGCCAGACGAAACCTTGCGCAAGAAGGTCTGTAATGCAGCCAATCGTCCTTCGTCACGTTTTCTGGATTCGATCGCGCGCTTGCAGAATGGCAAATCATGCCTTCCAAGTTCGCAATCTCTTCGATCACTGCTACTTGCTAGGCTGTCGGAAGGACACTGCTGGATGACTAGGCGCCAGGCGTACTCAGATCTGGCAAACAGCACCTTAGAGAAGAACCGAATCAGCGCAAGGCCATGCATGCAGAGAGCTGCAAAAGAGGTGCTTCCCATCGTGCCTGCAATGCGGAAGAATCGATCTTCGTGTTGACGGGACGCCAGCGCTCCTCGAGTCAGTCCTTACCTATGAAAGTCTTCATTGGGACCGCTTGATAGAAGGTTTTTGCTGATTGATTTCCATGCATCGGACATCGAAAGGGTTGAGAACAGGAGGATTGCATAGTGCATTCACGCGCACTCCTGTTCAAGAGTAATATAATACTCTCGAGATCGACTAGCTCAGAATGAGGATCGCGCCGGGTATTATTTTGGTATATAGCGCGCTAGCAATGATTCGATAATTGGTCCATGGTATATATAGATATTGCGTGAATCAGTCTACCCCGGTTTGCTTAAAGAATCGAATCGCAAGGAACTGAGGTAGTCTGTAATCGTTTGCTCAAACGTCTGTTAACGACCCTTTCCGTTACATCATGATGCATAACCGAAAGTGTCGTATGCATTGGACCTTACCGCTTATCTGTTGACAAACACCGGCCAGCCACTGCACGCAAGTTTCCACAACATGCATACTTCATAGCCATATGGTGACTTGGAGCATGCAGTAATTGAAGGCTGTCACAACCCATGCAAATTCCGACCTTAAACACGCCCTGAAGGACAAACCTGCAGCTGCTTGACGTCAGCCTTGTTACTTTTCGTAAGATATATGCCTTGATGTCCGCGATCCTCGCGTTTCTAGCATGTGCCCGACAAGACCGACGCTTTCGAAGGAGATGAGATAAATCGCACTTGCTTAACGTTTCTCGTCATCAAGGCTGCTTGTCAACGGCTGTAAATCTAGACCCGGAACAGGAGCCTCTGCTTTTGATCAAAATTCCTTATGTTGTCTTGACCCGCTCGCCAAGCCAAAAAGTACTCGGCACGACTGCAGCAAAGCAGAAGGGTCAGCTCTCTACCAGGCTAGCTTCGCAGGTCAGAAAGAGAGAGAGAGAGTGCTACAACGAGAGCAATGTCTGGCTGAAAACCAACCCGCGGCAGATTGACGAAAAGCACGACATCAAGAAACACGTCTACATTTTATGATAGCGGGAGAGCACCCTTCCAGAAGACTTTGGAAACGGCGCTCTCATTGAACGTCCTCGAACATCACAAGCAAATCGAACCACGAAGTTTGAGGTCCCATGAGTCATTACGTCTCTGAAAGACTGATCTCAAGGAAAGGGGCAACAGAAACGGGTGCTCACGCACCTGATGCTCAGCAGCTCGTGCAAGTTCGGACTGTGTACGGCTACCGTAGGCGTCGACGACCGGCTGTCCAACCGCTCTCTGCACTTATGCTGCTTATTCGAGGCCCACGGAGCGAAAAGGACGGACGGATGCCAGTTCCGAACGCATCCCTCAACCTGGCTCCGCGCTTTGAAACCCCTCCCCGCATCAGCCTGGCCTTCGCTTGCTGCTCTGGATCCCTTCTTTGCGGGAACCGATGCTTTGAATCCTCTCTTCGCAAAAAGAGGACTGCTGTGAACCAGATTACCGCAGCATACGGCTTTGGCTCACGTTGCCGGCAGCATAACCGACCAGTCGCAGGACGAAGTCTGGCCCGGTGCTCCGCCAAGGCGGTATGACGAAACCGACACAACTCTCGCGGCCGGTCTCGTGTGCTGCCACGTGGAAAGCTCCGTCCCTCTCGTTCCCTGTTTTGCAACCCCAGAGAACCCGCCAACGTCCGTTCGTGCGTGCGCTCGAACGATGCGCATCAGTGCCTGTTTGCGGTGGCGCCGTTAAGGCCGTAGAACTGGAGAGGAAGGAAGGAGCAAAGGAGTTAGGAAGCAACGATGTGAGATTCAAAGATAAGGGCCCATGAGCTCAGCCGTCAAGGATGGACGCATTTTTCATCAATCAAGCAAGAGTGGAATTGCGAAGGAAAACAACAGCCAAGATAGATTAAGGCTACCCTCGTGCTACTAATACAGGCAAATGACAGACAAGCCAAGCCACTTGACTCTTGAAATCTGAACAGGCGAAACGTAATCTGATCCAAGTCCCTGAATGCACAGAACGCAGACCTCAAAAGCAATGCACTCGCAGCTGAAACCTTAGCGGGTTTCCGGTGCGAACAGGTGCACAAGAGACCCGGCAAAACATGCCGCACCCAGATCAAATGCAAAGGGGCTATACTAGTCTCTCATAGAGCACGCCGAACGACCCGGCCGCAACCTAGTCAGAGCAAGGAGCGCCTTATTGGATAAGACATGCGAGCCCACCTGTGGCGCTAGCTCCGGCAGCCATGCAGGGTCGATTCGCGTGAGGTCGCGCATGTAGTCGCGGCTGGTGCGCACCAGCTCGTTGTACACCACGCACTCCGGCGCCTGCCCGAACAGCACCGAAGACGGGTGGATCGACACCGTGCGCCCGTTGGCGATTGCCCTGAGAAGGGGTCAGGAGGGTTCAGAGGCTGTCATCTGCTTTCCCGCAAAACGCAGTGGGTGCAGAGAAGAGGCCGGTTGCTCTAGATTTTAAGCAGAAAGCACAAGACAGCGAGCTGCCTTTGATAACATCTAATGTAATCCTCTCTGCTTTCAAAAGCTGTCATGGGCACCGCCTTCATAAGAGCGGAGCACAGAGGAAGCTAAGTCTGTTCCATCTCACAGGTAACAAGATGTAAGATGTTGCTACTCTCACAGCTAGAGAGATGTAAGATATTCCTCTCAACCCCTGTCCTCCGTAAAAGAGAGGTTCTGGACTGCTTTGAACCCCTTTGCTCTCAAAACAAAGTTGCAAACACCTCAATGCACCTGTATCGCTCGAACCTGCTCCTCAAAGAGCCTCTCACTCAACATCCACATCCAAATCGACCAGGCCGCCCAAGCCTTCCGTACCTGTACGTCCCGTCCGGCTGCCTCTTCGCAGCGTTGAGGAAGAAGCCGGCCGCGAGCCCCCGCCGGAGCGCCGTCCAGTCCTGCCCGCAGCTGCTCGCCGGCAGCCCCAGTCCCGCGCAGTGGTCGCGCAGCTGACGGTACACGTCGACGGCTTTGCTCAGCGACCGGCCGTTGACGAAGTTGGCGTGGCACCACGCGGCCGCGCCCGTGCGCTGCGCGAAGCAAAGATGACGTCAGCGAATGGCGGGACGCTGACGCGAGGGCATCAGATCCGGCGGCAGAGGGCTCATTGCTGTGATGTTTTTCGTCAATCCACACTGGATTTCAAATATTGAAGTCCGCTTCTAAAGGGACGGCGTGGACGAGTGTGAAAGCTCTACATACAAAGTTGCATGACGTTCAGGGCGCTTCCGGGGAGCACACCCCCTCAAAGTACAGGGCCCAGATACTTCTGTCTGTCGCCTCGCGTCCCTTAACCAACGAGAAGCAAGCCGCGAAAGTTGTTTTCTAAGATAGACCCCACCAGACGAAGATGGAAAGGCAAGATTGCCGTGCATTCCGAAGTATGGACTCTCCAGTAAGCCTGCACTCATTCCGACCGGCTTCTGATCACACCATTCCAACCGTGACACGAAAGTCTCTCTTACAAGCCTATGACAGCACCTTTCTCTTCTTGCCCGCGCTGTTTCCGTTGGCGCCGTTCCGGTCCTCCTTGGCGCCCTCTTCCAGGTACGCCCGGAACACTTGCACCAGCGTCACGTGGTCGCCCTCCGGGCTGACAAACCGCTTCTTGGCGGCGTTTGCCTGCGGAGTAAAAGCACATCATTTGAGCGGACTGGTAATCGATCAAAATGTGCGTGTTGGCTCGAAGGACGTCGCGAGCACAGAGAACAGTCAGCATCGACCCGATGCTGTATTTAGGCCGCAATAAGGTCAAGTAGAGGAGGAGCCAAGACATAGATGACGAAAATATGAGGACTAAAAGCAAAACGGAACACTATAAACATAAGTTGGTGACAAGAGAGTTCAGGCATGATCACGGACGCAACACATGCAGTGTGGTTTGCTGAAGTGAGACATGAATAGAGTTAACAGCAAAGCAAGCTATTTCTCCAGCCACAAAAGCCGATGCGAGATATTATGGTAACAGACTACGTTTCTTAGACCCTAGAAACGCAGCTGACATCAACCCGGGAAAGGATCAGTCACACGGCATCTCACGGTAGTAGTCCACCGGAACCTCCAGACAAGCTTTTCCATGTGACCTTTGACGCCAGACTTTGACCTGGACGTTCGTCAGAATGTTTGACAGTCTTTCGGCGGTACCTCGGACTTCTTCTCCTTGGGCACGTAGAAGACGCCCTCCACGCTCAGCATCGCGACGGCGGTGATCATCTCGTCGAGGCAGCCCATTCTCGCTGACGTCAGCACCGCGCGCGAGTAGAGCGGCTCCAGCGGGAAGCGCGCCATCTGCACGCCCGTCGGCGCGCTGAGGCGGCCCTCCGCCGTGAGCGCGCCCAGAGCAAAGAGCTGCTCCAGGGATTTGACGATGGCGCCCCTGGGGAGGGGTTAGGAAGGGTTAAAAAGGGTTAGATAGGGTGTGGCAGTCAGCAGGATGCGAGCAAACCTCATTTATTGACTACTAATCCTATGATGATACTTGAAGGGGATTTTTCCGACTTGTGGTGAAAAGTAGGAGGTATCTCGAGACGTTCGTTTATCTGCGAGGCACTGGTGAACACCTTCTTCTTCCGAACTGAGCGAATGTGCCTGCTGGCTTGGGCGTCGAGGGACCGGCGTTGCGAAATGATAAGGCCCATTTGATTGAGTCTCTCCCCCTTACAAGCAGCATGTGAAGAACGTTCCGGTCCCCTCGGTCGATTTGCGGCCTGGTCAATATCGTCGGCACGACAACAAAATAGGCGTTGAGGGTCATTAAAACAATTTATCTTCAAACCGATAGCCTGAATCTTGCTCACCTGGGCGGCTTGTCCATGAAGTCAAACTGTGCCACGTTGTCGATCCCCAGCGCCTTCAGCTGCAGCACCACCCCAGCCAGGTTGCATCGCTTGATCTCCGGCACGGTTGCGTCTTCCAAGGCCTCGAACGCCGCTTCCGTGTACAGCCGGTAGCACTTCCCGGGCGCCTCACGGCCCGCGCGGCCGCTGCGCTGCCGGGCCTGCGCCTGTGGGTAAGCGCAACACGTGTTGACTGTGTTAGAGGTGTGAATGGGCGGCTAACGCGGATCTGAAAAAATTGAGGCGATGTCGAGTTTGGTGACAGGTGCGGAAGTTTCGCCGGGCTGAAGGCGCATGGTCAGTGCACGAAGCCGTCTTGAATTTTGCGGGGCGAAGATCAATTCCTATCTTTAATGCTACCAGTGTAAAGTGGAATAGGCCACATTCAGGTCCGCAAAAGCATTCCGGCTTGCTCAACTCGAGCTACGAGGGTCGAGGGGCTTGAGCATGCACATATCGACGTCGTGGTTCTCCAAAGCGGTGTGTTCTTAGGAGCAGGTTTGCTCATTCAATCTGGTCTCCATCCGAACAGATCTCCAATCAGCAAAGCCGTCTGTACCGCCTCACACAACTACAGAACCGCCTGGGAACAATGTTTTACTGTTCAGAACATGGCCGAGAAACTCGCAACCACTCAGAGCGGTGAATCTCGACCAGGACGGATGTTCCCATTGCAAAAGGAGGGTCTGACGCTATGCCAACGCCTAACCGGATTCTGAATCCTAGGGGCCACTGCAAGGCCGCTGCAGAACGGGCGACCCCAAGCGCATTGTGCATGTGCCAGGTGGCGGCTCACCTTGGAGATGGGCACGACCGCAAGAGCCTCGATCCCTGCCCGCGGATTGTAGGTGCGCGCCTTCACCAGTCCCGGGTCGACCACGTAACGAACCCCGGGGAGTGTCAGGGACGTCTCTGCAATGTTGGTCGCCAAGATGACCTGCGGACAGAGAAGCCCGTGTGGAGAAATAAAGAGCCAGTGGCAGATAGAGCGGGGATGCGTGGCGACTCCTGGACTTCACATGCGGGGATGACCCAGAAACCAGCGCAGTGGGCGTGCATCTGGGGCAGGATGAGCGACGAGGTGTCGCTCTGTCGGATATTGGCGGAGTCAGCAGAGCCGACAGAGCATTTCTCCTGGCCCCTTACACCTCCGTCTTTCGTCGACCCCTGCTCAAACGCGTAAGGAGCCGTCCATGTGTCGAGTAACATTGTCGAGCAGGGAGTGGTCCGACTCATAAACAGCGAAGCTGTTTGCCAATTCAAGCTGATAGCCAGACTACTTAGAACCGGCTTCGTAGAACCGGCTTCAAACCCGCACAAGGTCACTTCCGCCACCTTCATGCCCAGCCTCCGAACTGCAATGCATCAAGTTGCGCCACGTGTCCTACCTTGCGCGTGCCAGGTGGCGCTGGCTGAAACACCCGCATCTGCTGGTCGGCGGGCATGGCCGAGTAGATAGGCGCCACAGTAACCCGCTGCGCGCCCTCAGGTAGCCGTGCCGCGCGCTCTTTGACCAGCCGCTCCATCGCCTCGATTTCCTCCTGGCCAGTCAGGAATACCAGGACGTCGCCCGTGTCTTCTTCCAGATGGATCTGGAACACCTGCCGTAAGAGACAATCCACATTTTAGGGGGTTGAATACTGCATGATCTGTGTGTGCCTCGTCTATTGAAGGAGAGCAGGATTAGTCTGGACTAACCTTACAAGCCTCATCTTCACAAATCATACAAACCTCAGCTTTGCAGAAAAGGAAAACGATGCATGGCTTCTCAACATGGCACCGAAGCCAAGGCCAGCAGTGTCCTTCCAAAAGCACCGCTTTCGATAGTTAGCTTCCCTTGAAAGAAATAAGTCAAGCGGCAAAGTGCTTTCATCCGCACCGTGATGAGGACGGCGTCCAGGTAGTCTGCCTCCGGCTGCGCCGCATAGAGCACCTCTACCGGGAACTGCCGCCCCTGCACGTACACCGCCTTCGCCCCGCCGAAGAACTCGCAGAACTGAGCCGCGTCCAGCGTCGCTGACATCACCACCACTCGCAGCGGCTCGAGCCGGCCACCCCCGCCGTTGCTGACGTCAGCATTGCCCCTTCTCCAGCCCTTGCCATGATGCGTTCCCTCATTTCCGTAAGTGGAGGCGTTCGTGGCGTGTCCATTGGCGTCGGGGGCCGAGGTTTTGGAGTCGGCAAGTGACGCTTTGCTGACGTCAGCGCCGCTGCGGCGGGCTTGCACGGCCTTGAGGAGGCCGAGGAGGATGTCGGTGTGCAGCGTACGCTCATGCGCCTCGTCCACGACGATGACTGAGTAGCGCGCGAGGAGGGGGTCTAGCAGCGCCTCGCGCAGCAGCAGGCCGTCTGTCATGTACCTGGCAGAGCAAGCGAAGACGACTTAGTGGAGCACTTTCACACTGGGACAGGACTTCAGAACGGTGGCAAGCAGATTTTAGTCAGTATAGGGATTGGCTTGAATGGTGCGGATCATCATAAGCAACTAGCAGTGTATAGTGCAAAATGCGCAAGGGAAGGGGTGCGGAAGCAAACAGTTCCAGGTTGCTGCTACGCAGGTGGATGGTTGAAACGTGTCTCGCTCTGTCCGTACTGTGGCATCGGACCTCCGAAAGCCGGACAGGCTGAATGGTGTTTTAGTAGAGAGATCCTAGGAGGTGCAGCGGCGATCGATGCTTGCTCCAGCATGAACCTGGTCGTATTAGCTTAGACTGAAGCACGATCCATCTTCTGTGAGGCACATATGAAATCACAAAACGAAAGTCAGGAAGTAGTCCAATACCCACAGGTCTGACATCCGTGAGCATGTGTAGAGGTCCAATGATCAGGTAAAGCTACGTCAGACCAGACAACAGAGTCACTTCGGGTGTAAAGTCAAAGAATCGTTGACTTTCCTCCAACTGTATTTGCACCCAGAAAAGCAAACCACCCTTTCACTATGTTGAGGACCTTGAAGGGCTTGGCCAAAAGTCTGCTGCGTCAGACTCAGTCACCCACGGCAAAAGCACTTCTAAGCTTTCTCAGGTTGAATCATGAAGGGCTTATCACATAAATTCTCACTTGACGACTGTCTCGGGCCCTGTCCGGTCTTCAAACCGTATGGAATACCCAACCTCCTTGCCCAGCTCCATCCCCATCTCCTGCGCCACTCTCGCCGCCACCGATACGGCCGCTACCCTTCGGGGCTGCGTCACACCGACCACTTTACCCCCCTTGCAGAAGCCGGCCGCTCTCAGGAACTGCGGGAGCTGCGTTGTTTTGCCGCTTCCGGTCTCGCCAATGACGATCAGAGTGTCGTGCTGACTGACCTCAGCGATGAGCTGGCGCTCAGCTGTAAAGCAGGGGGGCTGGGTTTGACAGAGCAAGATCTCAATAAACATCGATCTGGCGTTGAATTTCGGGACTTTCATGAAGGGTGGAGCACAATATATCAGTGAGCAGTTAGACATGTTATTCGGAAAACACATTAAAATGTTTGCAAGAAGAGATTTTGGCGAGAAGGGCAGTAACAAGTAGAAAGTGGTGCCAGGTGACGATGGCGATGGTGGTGGTCAAGGACTCGATACGTTGTTTGTATCAATTTCAAATATCGTTAATAATTAAGGCCCCCTGCTGGAATGCAGTGATAACAAACTGTGCTCCGGATGTTCCTAGCCCGACAGCGAGACTGATCTGTGGCAGGTGACTCGAGGAATGCGGGCAAAGCGAGTGCGATTAGCAATCAACATTGCAGAAGCTTCAGGTTTCCCTCATCACGTGTGTTAGCTGAAGCAACCATGATTTCTTGGATAAACAACCAATCTGACGGGAATCCACAAACAGCATTGCTGCTTTCCCACACTTTTGACACGAGAGTCTTACAACCTTTTGATGCTCAGAGAAAGCTTTAAGCTGCTTTAAAGCATCAGAGACCATTGTCAGCCTGACCTGAGGCAATCGGCAGGTCCTTTCTTTGCGCTGCCAAAAGCAGGCGGCTTTGGGTAGCTGACGTAGCGCCAACCCTGTCATGCTTTTCCTTGGCCACCATGATTCACCCTCAGGAACACCCTCTAGATCTCATTCCCAAAACCAAAACAGTCCTAGTATTAACACTCTCTCCAAAGGAGGACCATTGCTGGCATTGGCATATGCAACACCACCACCGTGACCACCCTGCATTGACAATGGCTTGCCAGCTTCCAGGTGCTTGCGTGCGCGGTATGCGCGCGCAAGCCCGGACCCGGCTGGCCGCCCGTGAGGCACTGGGTCACACGTGCGGCCGCCCGGTCGAGTGAGCCGCCCGGTATTATCGGCCCAGAATCGTCGTGTACGGTTCGAGTTCGGTTTACTGGCTACCTAGTTTAACAGTTGAAATCCGTCTCCGTTCGACAAGGAAAGCCGGCCAGGCCGAGCGTTCGCCGGTTATAGCCGGACTGGTATCTTTGAACCGGTCAGCTTGTCCTGTGCTTGTGTGGCACCCAAAATCTAGAAAATACGCGGTAGATATCTGGTTTCAACTTTCGGTGGCTTCGGTTGGGCTAGCCGGCCTGACGTTTGCCTGGTGTGACTCACCGGACTCGGGAGCGGCCGGCAGCCGCTGCCGCTCGGCCGGACCGGGATAGTTACGGGATGAAACTCAAGAAAAATAATAGTAAGCTCCGACTAACACTAAAAACCCTAACCTGAAATGAAACACCCGCTCCGCACCCGTACCCACCCTAACCACCATACTAACCCTACCCGTCACAGTGCGGTTACCTTACTATTATTTGCTCCGGGTAGTTACAACTTACGGGCCAAGGCCCAAGGGAAATTATTGAACTACAGCCGAAATTTCGAAATCGGCGCCGGCTATCGGCGCTGTCCGACCACTGGCCTCATATGCAACCATGCGCAGTCTCGTCAATCAAATATTTGAGACAGGCTCGTTTGCAGTAAATCCCGAAGGCGCTGAATTTATCTTGAATATTGCTCAAGATCGGAGGATACCAGTACCTACTATGGCGGGTACAAGGGAGCTGAACAACAGCACCATAAATATGCTACCCATCGAATATTTGTCCTGATTTTAGATGGCAACCTACAAGGCCCTACTACCTAGGTACCTCCGCTAGTTGAATGTCTACTTATGACGAATATAACCAATCGTTCCATTGAACATTGGCATCATTGAGCGGGATTCGCGGACTTTAGAAGATTTTTCGATAATTGCACCATGTAGCAATGATTTTGAAGTCGATTCCCAGTAGGTACATGACAATCTTCCATCGCGGCTTCGCATAGGCTATTGCATCAGGGCTACCTATCTAGGGCTGTCGGATGGCCGACAATCTGTCCTCCTTGACAGTCCTTGCGTGACTCCTTGAAACCTTGAAGCAATGAAGGCCTTCCACGAGTTCCTTGTTGAATCAGAGCACAATCCCCCCCCTCGTTCCTGAGCTCACACGTGATATAAGGTATGTGACTTAGCTTGGCGCCCATCCAACTTCAGCGGAAAGCTATCTCAAGAGGGCAGGGCAGAACCTTCCCTCTGTTCGACGCCCAACCACATGGCGACCACTCAGCGTGGCGAGAAGTCTTCCAAGATCTCCAAGATGAAAGTCAGGGTGCTGAGCGAGGAACTTTTGAAGCCCAAGACGCCTGCGGACCACCCTAAGCTTCTGGAGCTCTCCGTGATCGATCAGGTTCAGCCCCGCTTCCATGGGCCACCGATGCTTGCGTTTTTGGGACCGATGCCTGATGGTAGGTTCATCGTTTTCTGAATATGATTTTTCTAGGTATCTGATTCAAAGAGGTTGGTCAGTCATTCTGTGGCTGTCTTGCTGGAGTCCAAACTTGAAAGGATTTATGGGGGTGTAAGACTGGGCTTATGTCTACCTGCGGGGTCACACTGCTCCCGGATGTGATGTGCTAGTCCCACCACTTGATCTGACATGTACTGGCATTTGCGCAGCAGATTCACTGAGAGCACAGCAAACAAAGTATTCTGAAAGATCTAGCTCCCACAGCTTTCAGATACTTATGTCTTCTGACAATCCGTTGCTCTAACGTTTCTGACAATGAGTCTACTGGCACGCTGTGCTTGTGGACAGTCCAACTCTGTCGTCCCGTCTTTAAATCCATTCTTGTTTTTAATGCTTGAGCGATCTGTTCTTGCAGCACTGCCATTTGAAGAGTTTGTGCAAAGAAGCAAAGAAGCATGGGCAAGAACACTGGTGGCATACTACCCTCTGGCTGGAAGGCTGGTGGTAAGCCCTGAGCATTAATTTTTAGCTTGCTAACAATTTCTACAGTCATGCTGGATGAGGTAGTGAAGAAATGCACATTGCTTGATGCAGATGGTTCTCTACTGCAAAGAGTCAATCAAGAGACTATACATCAAGAAAGATACAGTCCTCTTGGCGCCTCAACTTCTTGTGAAGAAACGAAGTTGTGAGTGTAGTCTCATGTGTGTCCGTTGCGCGCCAGCCTTTATCCTTGCCTCAACGCTATGCTTAGATCTGTTCCTTGTGTCAGTCAAAGTTTGACAATAGCAAAACTTTTGAGTCTCTGCAGTGTCAATCAGCTGGGGAGGCACCCATTCTTTTCCATTAGACCTTAGTGACCTTTGCCAATCTTCTCACCCTTGTGTCACGACTCCCTTTTGCCCATTCGCATTCGAACCTGTTGCCTTCTGGACCACACATCAGAACAGATTGCCAAAATTGATGGCATCGTTCAATTGTGCTTGCCGGGTTCATGGTCTGAACAGGCACAGCCCTCCAGCCTTTGAAAGTCCTGGGAAGTGTCTCAAGGCAGAAGTGCTGAGCATCCACTCTGTGGCCACTGTTGAGCTCCTCTCATGGTGGCGGCTGATTCACCTGACCAAGTGTGAAGATACTACGGTTAGCCCTGAGATTCGGAACTAGCTGACATGAAGTACTCCTGTGCGCACTTGAATTCGTGGACATCTGACTCCTAACCAGCCCATGCGACTAACGACCCTTTCCTCTGTACCGCAGAGACAAAAGGAAGGGTGCCTCGCCATCGACTGCAACGACGCGGGCATTCTCGTGCGCGCTGCCGAGGCGGACTGCCCACTGCCGCAGGAGATGGTGACGGGGACGAGCATGGCTGGCTCCGACAAACTGTTTTTCACAGAGCGGGGAGAGGACATCACTACAGTCCCACTGCTATTGATACAGGTACGTGAGGAGGCTGCTGGCAACTTGGCTCCATTGGATGACGCGACTCAAACGCGTCGTTATAGATATAAAACCTTAAACGTACCTGGTTGAGTGCCTTCGGATGGCCAAGGTTGTGCGGTTGAAGGAGACTGACTTCGGGTTTCACGAAAAACGTCACTATTCTAAGCTAGAAACCAGTTTCGCTTTGTCATGAGAGTTCCTGAAGAGTTATTCGCATTTACGTTGACCTTGCTGTCATCCCTCGGTGACTTTGCGAGACAAACAGCCTAATGAAGCCCAGCCTTATATTCTTCATCGCTCTCTTGTGAAATGGCGGAACAGTGTTAGAAGCTTTCATCTCGTTTATCATGTATGACCCCTTTCTCGATGCGTTTCATCCATAGCAACGTCGCCCTCTATTAGAAGGGCTTCTCCTACTTTGCAGCATCTCCCCTGCTTGTTTCGTGAGCACGAAGTCATACGCACGATGACGTCACACTCGGCATCGTAGATACTGCACAATTGAAGTAAACAAAAGGTAGCGCAATCTCCTAGCTCGCGCCTTGTCAAGCGCGCATTGTCTATGAATCTCGAATTAATGTACGATAAGCTTTTAGTTGACCTTGCATTTTAACCCGATCGGGTTAGGATTCAAAGGCTTACGTGCTACACATTAACTCCCACCCTAACCGTTCAACTAACTCCACCCCGTCTCGCTGTCAAATTCGTGGGCTTACAGTACACTCAACCGATTGGAAATTTTTTATTTCTGTGCAGTTCACGCGGTTCCAGGACAACTCGTTGTGCATGTACTTCGGGTTTCATCACACTGTTTCCGACGGGGCCAGCAGCAGCCTTGCTGCCTACTATTGGATAGAGCTGTTTAAGGGGAAGGAGCCGCCCTTCGTCCCAGTCCATGATCGTTCCCTACTGAAGGTAATTCTTGTTACAATCGGTCAGGAGCAGTCCTCTTGAGACAGAAGATTCTAACTGCGGTTTTTCGGCTTGTGGGTGAAACTAAGTTCGGTCAGAAAGAGTCATACTTGAATACGAATGATCAGTTTTGTGGCATTCCCTTCTCTTCGAGACGATTTGGTCAAGTCATGTCCGGCAAGGTCTCGTTCGAGTTATCTGGATGATCTGCTCCGGACGTTGAACAGCCGCTTTGTCACCGATCAATTGTAAACCAGTTTTTTTTTTGGGGGACCTTTCAACATCCAGATCACCTCCGATGCCGCCGTCTGCATTTCAATCTTAACAACGTGAAAGTCAGAACAAATCATTGTGACTTAGAGTAGATGACATCCTTTACTGACGCGCCAATTCACATTTGCGATTGCAACTCGGAGGTCCCCACGCGTTTGCTCGTAGCTCAAAACGAGGTGGCACCCTTTCCTGACGGTTGGCATCGTGCACCCCGTAATCACAATCAAATTTGGGTGAGGGCCGTGACGTCACCCAAATTCTCAAATTCCCAGGTGCAGACAACCCAGAATCCTGAAACTCACGCTAAACATGCTCCGCACCCGTACCCAATCTAAACCTGGTGGGAAACCCACCCGTCCCCCCGGCGATGATCTACCTCAACAAAATAACGAGAGCAATCATCCTCCCGTCGCAGGCGTCAGGCGAGCCGGTCCCAAGCAAGACGCACGCCGTGCTCGGGTTGGCGCCCACGTTTCCCATTCCCAAGGTGGTGAAAATAATGCTGGGCAGCCCCCGGTTGAAGAGAGTGATCCCGTACCTGCCCAAGCGGATGATCCTGCCGGACGTGCCCCTCCACCGGCTGTTCTTCTCCAAAGGAAAGCTCGAGGTAAGGGGCGTTGGATTTTACAGTCGCCTCATTGAAGAGACTTTGTCTTCTGGTGTTGAGGGTAAAGATGTAGGCTGAAGCGGTCCACCGGCTCTTTTCTCCAAGGCGAAGCTCGGGATAGGGGCCTTTGGGTTGCAGAGTTGGCTCAATGCTTGGGTTGCGGCCTTCTATGTTGGAGTGGAAGATCCAAGTTGTAGCGACCCGACGTATGCCTGTCCCGTTAGTTGAGTGGAGCTGACCTGAACCGCTCGTCGGACATCGAGTGCTTTCATTGGGCCAGGCACTCGGTTAGACGATTTATTCTGCGACGTTTCTCGACGTAGACTTCTGCGAGAAGAGGACCGAGCAAAGTCATAAAGGGGTAGTGTCCTCTTACTTATTCCTTCAATTTGCCGCTCAAAGAGACCGACCTCTCTTAAGGGATTTTGTCCAAGTAGTCGTCGAAGCTGTCCTTACGTTCAACGTCCGCTTCAACCTTTTCTCCGACAAGCCGAACGTCCCTGCTCAGCCCACTTGCAAAATCTGTTTTCAAACCCACGAAGCTCAAGGTCAGGTGCTTAAGTTCGTTTCAAGCTATACCGTACGTAAAGAGTCGGTATTTTTGATCCGCTGGTCGAAGGACAAATGAACCACATTCCAAGCACGGTCCTTCAGTGAACAATCAACTCAGCCACTGACAGCTGGATGTGTTCTCTATGCGGATGACCAGGCGCTGAAAAAGGACGCGTGCGAGGGCCTCCCAGCGGGACGCTTCGTGTCTACCAACGACGCCTTGACCGCTCTGCTGTGGCGGAGCATCAGCGCCGCACGGGGGCTGCACAAGATTCCTGAGCAGGTAGGAATAATCTTCAACGCAAAGCTTTGAACCATTGTGACTACAGAAAGTAGTTGTATCTTCTTCCGATTGGCTTCCAATTGGGTTGCCTTCTTGACCAACGCTGCAACCCAGGAGCATTTCCGTGGAGCCTGTCAGGTTTCTTTTTGGCATTTTTTGGAAGAAACAGGCACGCACAGAGCAGGTTTTTACGCCGATCCGCCATTCCTAGCAGCCCGAAACATGTTCCTTCGTCGCAAAGAGAACCTTGATTCGGCAAAAGCATCATGCCATGGCGAACCCTCCAGGTTACGTCTGCGGTTTACAGAGCGCGTTCTTTCGTCCCAGACTCTCTCGACTTTATTAAAGGCCAGAATCCTTCGGCGCTACTCAGTCTGAGCTGCCTTGTTACTTCTCAGCATTTCTATTTTGTATCATTCAAAGTACGGTGTCTCACTCGGCCGCCTGTCCCGCGTGCAGAAAACGCGGCTGGCGTTCGCGGCCGATGGGCGCTCGAAAACGGAGCCGCCTTTGCCGGAGGAGTACTTTGGAGGGGCAAACATCACGACGCTCTCGGATGCAACTGCGGCGGACCTCCAGAACCAACCCTTGTCGTGGGTAAGCGGTCTTAAGTGAGAAGAGAAAAATCCATCTGGAACTTTATTGAATCCTCATCAACATCCGTAGGGCTACAAAGCTTTCTGACGGGGTCGACTAGATCCTAAGACTGTACGAGAGTCATGAATGTCTGGCAACAGGACCTTCATGGTAGCTGATTTGAGTGATGATGAATCTGCGCTTGCTAAGCTTGACGCGTGAATAGGATCTGTAAGAAACTACGAAGTGCTGTCGACTACAATGTTCGCAGCTCCGTCCTTCTCACAGGTAAGCCACACCAAGATTCTCGTGCGGAAAGTGGTGATTTATGTCCGTTGGGGTCGAGCCCAAATCTAAAGGAGGAGTCGGTCGTCGACTTATACTCACGGTTGAGTTTGGTCCCCGATTGTTGACGAGATGTCCTTTGTTATGAATGGGCATCAGCTGACGGCAGTCTATCATCTGCTTGACGTCAAGCTTCTCGGTGTAGCCAAATGTTCCCGTTCCCACGTCCTTTGCAGAGCGCGAGCAAAGTGCGCGACTCGGTGTCGCGCGTCGACGCCGGCTACGTCAGGAACGTGGTGGACTGGATCGCCGAGCAGCCGAACAAGGCCGCGCTAGGTTTGAACATCAACGCGCATTTGGGGCCGGATCTCCTCGTGTCGATTTTAACCAAGTTTCCTATCGATTTGATGGACCTTGGTTGGGGGAACGCTCTCGCCGTCGCGCCGGGAAAGTATCACATCCCCTTCGACGGCCTGGTCGTTCTCGTTGGGTCCCGGGGGGGGGTCTGCGCGTTTGTGAGTCTGCTCGCGGGACACATGAAGAAGCTGATGAAGCACGAGCCGCTCTTGAAGTACGTCGGTTGAGGCTTGGTGACGCCAGGAGGAAAAGTCAGGGTGAAAATTGGATGTCAGGGCGTGCGCGTGCCCAAAACGATATATGATTTTTTGAGACTTACAAAGTAGTACCGAGTACGTAGACAGGGATTGAGATGCGGCACTGGTACGGTTGCTGGGATATAATTGCTGAACGTTGTTGTGTAATTAGACAGATTGTGCATGTGGCTCGCACGAACCTGCTGCAAGTGATAGTAGTAGACAGTACGATGTTCAAACTGCCCGCATTACCGGAAAGCCGGACGAGTATACGAGTCAGTTATAAAGATAAACTTGCTTCTTGTGGTAGCGCAGCGCATACCGCAAATTTTGGACTGTAAGGTAAGACCTAGGACAGTCACTCATTGGCGTAGAAGCCATGGTTTGCGATTGCGTTGCAGCGTGCACGGCTGAGTTGGTTTTGGTAGGACCTAAGACAGTCACTTGCGTTAAAAGTAGTGGATTGGCGCTGCGTCGCAGCGTATCAGTACCGACATACTCTGGTCTGTAAGTACGTAGCACCTAGGGCAGTCCGACTTGCGTTGCGACAATGGATTGCGTTTGCACTACAATGAAGAAGAATGGCCATCTGGGCCCGGCGCTAGACGCCACGTCCACATCATTGTTTCTGTGACTCGTAAGATGGCCTGAAATCTGCTTTCACGCACTTAAACATGTCGCGCGAAGTTCTGCCTATCCAGCTAATATGATTCACCATGCATGCGCAAGCATACGTCTTCCGGAGAGCTCCATATGTTAGAATCAATTTCGATGGTTGATGTCATGTAACGTACGTAGAATCGACCTGTCCTCCATTGCGTACGACCCCGGCTTCGCGATACTTGATGATAAGCGAAGCTCGAGATCAGCGAGAAGTTGATTGGGCAATCGTTAAATTCCGACGGTCATCACAGAGTCCTGCACCCTGTATGTGCATCACTATTAGAATCCGACACTTTCTCCAGGATGCAACGCGATGCTTCTGTCCCTCTCGCCATCAGGTGTTCAAATGCTTCGCGTGAACTCATGCCAGCCTAGGGCGCACATATGCAGGACTGCTAGCGCCCGCGTCAGTCAAGCTTGTGGTTCAACTCAGATTGAAGTGGACTGAAAGACCGTCAGCAACTCATGCACGAGGAGCCGCATCCATTGCGCGAGCCACATGCATGTCCCACGGTTTCTCAACCAGACGTGTGTCCGCATGATACCACGACAATCATCTCGAACATGGACACAAGATTGAGCTGAGCATGGGCCGGGCTGACAATGATACGTTCCACATGTTTGCACTCTCAAGTCGTGCCTCTCGTTTGACGCTCGCATACCTAAACCTGATGCAGTGCGCCTCATCTTCCGCGACTAGTACCCCTCAACGCGTTCTCACGGCCGGTACCGATCCTTCGACCGGCTGATCGAATTCCAGTCGCCTTGGAGGTCCATCGGAATGGACCGGTCCCCGAACGTCTTCGGCGTCATGCCCGTGTCGTCCGGCATGTACGTGTCCTGGAACTCGTGGCCGCGCAGCCGCAGCATGTCGAGCTTCTGCTTGCGCGTCTCCGTCGCGAGCAGCTCCGCGTCGTCCTTGCGCCACCCGCCCGGCGGCGGCGGCTGGTCCAGGTCGAGCGCGCCGATGTGGAACGGCTCGTAGCGCGAGTCGTGCCGGCGGATGCAGTCGAAGAACTCGTTGTCGGTGGAGGGGAAGGTCGCGCCGGCCATTTGGCAGATGGCAAAGATGGCTGGCACGCGGTAACGGTACCGGGTCTGGCTGCCGAGCTTGTGCGTGATGGGGTATGGTTGAGTGATGGCGGACGGGACGTGCGTGTCAACGACTGTAGATGAGTAGAAAGGTGTCACAGTGAGGCCGACGTTGGACGTTTGGAACAACTTGCGATGTTAGAGCTTGTAATCCAGGGCTTCCTGAATCTTGTTGGCGGCTCTGCTTACGATTGAAGTATCACACGGTTTGGAGAAATGCCGAAAACCTCTGGTCGATGACGATGATATGAGCAAAGTAAGCAGCACGTTAACAAACTCAACCACGAAGAAGACCAAAATCAGCAGCAAAGAATGGAGCCCTTGACGCCCTTGCAAAACCGCATGAGTGTATATCCGAACCCGCTCGACTTTACGCCGCGTCGCCAAGCGAATCCCCGATTCCCTTAAAGCAGCGAGTTTCAGATTTCTGAAGTTCGGAGAGCTTTCTTTACGCATCACATCTACTTTCAACAATTGAATATGTGTGGAAAATAAAGGCGTTATCCTTCTCCCATAGGGAATGCGAGTTCCCGGTCACCAGTCACGTCCGTGAGACGGCACTGAAGAGATAGCAAACAGTACTTAGAAGTCAGCTGCTCAATTCTAAGAAATGCTGCGATATCCAGTGGTCTGTGGAGCAGGGAAAACTTAGAAAAGGGAACGATGAGGCCCTTCAAGCAAAGGTGACCGATCAATGGACATGCTCCCACATTAAGTCGTCAGGCACAACCACAAAAGGTCACATCTGCTCGCAGCAGGTTCTTATGACGTCATCAAACACGAAAGAAAAGCTTTCAAAAGGGCGGTCACACGCGAAACGCCAAGGCTTTGCTCGACTCACTATCGTGGGCTTCGTTTCGCCACCGGTTGCCGTCGCTTGGCCTTCTGCAGATGCCGTAGTAAGGCTGCTCGGGGGCGGGGCGCCGCCCGACAAACACCTTGTGGCACTTGGTGCACTCCTGGAGAACAAAAAGTAACACTAGTTAGAGCTCTCCCAGCGTCTTGGAGCTATCAGCCGTCCAGAAACCTCTGGAAGTGCCTCCTCTGTGCGGATGCAGGCGAATCGAGGGCAGTTTAGACTGAGATCCCAGTGACGCTTTCAGGATTGAGGTCAAAGTACCGAATTCTGAAACCATTTACTTTCGGACTGGGGCTCCCCGGATCGAATTTCGGGCATACTGATTTGAGTCGAGGATGTAAATCTTCAGAGGGTAGAGTTTCTGCTGACGTAAGCACCGTTGCGGCACTGCCGGATCAAGACGTCATGTTCCAGCCGGCGTGCAAAACAGACCGAAACAGAAAGTCGGTTTTCGATCAGGGCTCCCCCGTCCGAGATTGGATTTTTCCAGAATCAGGTAGTTCACGCTTACATCCGGCACCTCAAGGAAATAACAGTTTCTTTGCAAATTGCACGGCCACTCCAGCGATTTGCTTCAACCTCCCTCCACTAAGAGTTCACGGGAGGAATAAAGTTGCATCACCCACATGGGAACCTACGGACTCTTAACCTTGAAGACCCATAAGCGACTTTAACCAACGGAGTGAAGAAGGCACAGCATGATCTGCCGTATCATCTGTCTGTACCCAGCGCAAAGGGCCATGGGGTCAACGCTTGTGAGCAAGCCGCTTGCCTGCATGAAGAAGTGGTCGAGCAGTTTATCCAGCTCCGGCCGCAGCTTCAGGTCCCGGGCCCGCCCGTCGACGATCTGCAGAACCGCTTGATGACATCAGCAGGCAGACTGGCTCGCAAAGCGCCAAGCAATGGGACGACAAGCTGCTGCGAAGCTCGATGTGGCACTGGGACCTTCTCAGGAGATCCTTGTGGTAGCCAAAGCCATCTTTCAGAGCAGAAATAAGCAGCTAGCTGGTTTAGATGGATGCCTTTGAAATAATGAAGGAGAAGAGTCGGTTTGATTGTGAAAGAGCAGAATTGCCAGGCAACACGCCCCTGTTGAGGAAAAGGTGACACTCCTCTTCTGTTGGCAGTCGCTTATAAGCTGCTTCAATGGCCACGTTGGTCAGACCGATTTAGGAAGAGGCAGCATCAAAGAAGCCTCGCTGACAAAGGCGCACAAAGTGTGGGTAGCAAGCATGGACACAACGGCAGCCTTCCTATTGGTCTCTGTTCAGAGCGCCCCTTTATCCTTCTCGTCCTGAAACAACCTAGTGAGTAGCATCGCAAAATGCTCCACCATCTACCGTGGATGTCCTTGTGATGCTCGCATTCGTAGTAGGTGCTCATTTGATCCAAGCAGCTGGAATGGAGAGTGCACCACTCCCTCCATCGACCGCCAGAAAAAGACCGCCAGGAAGAATTGACAAAAGCATCGAGCCAATTGCGTATGTTGTGGCCAATGCTGCTACGCTTTGTAATTTCAAGCAGCAAGATCAAGAATGCGCAGCGATAAGCGACTGCCAACAGAAGAGGAGTGTCACTTTCTTCTCAACGGGGGCGTGCTGCCTGGCAAATCTGCTCTTTCACAATCAAACCGACAAATCTGCTCTTTCACAATCAAACCGACTCTTCTCGTTCATTGTTTCAAAGGCATGCATCTAACCCAGATAGCTGCTTATTCAACCAGCTTTGACTAACAGTGGTTCGCACGGTCATTCTCTGTTATCCAAAACCACCAGAAGATAACAGACAGAAAGGCGGGCACACCTTTTGCGCGATCACCCTCAGCTCCTCGTCATCCCCCAGCACTTCCGCTGTGACACTGTCCCTCGGTGGCCGCCCGTCCCCGCCCTTTGAGCCTGCGCCGCCCACCCATTGCGCCACGACCACCTTCCTCTCACTCCCACCGCTCGATTCCTCATCAATTATCCGAGGCGCCGCCGCCCCATTTCCGTCGCTATGGCCGGCCGCCCCGTTTTCAGCACCATCCTTATCCTGCTCCACCGTTGCGCCTTCCGCCGCATTCTCCGACGCACCTTCTGTTGCATTCTTCAATGCACCTTCAGTCGCATCTATCACTCGGCTAGGTTCGTCGTCCGTGTCACTCTCGCCCGTGCTAGCCTTCCGCCTCCCACGCGTTTTACCCACCGTCAGTTCGTCCCCCCCTCGCGCCTCTTCCTCTCTCAAATCCGACGCGCTGGGGCCCGCTTCTTCCTGTGCCGCAGCCTTCTTTCTCGGCGCCCTCGTCCTCCGAGGGGGGGCGCCAGAGGCCTCACTATCGACCGCTGCATCTCCATCCTCCTTAGCTTTTGTCGTCCTCCTCCTACTTGTCGCCCTTTTTGGAGTCGGAGACGGCGTCTCTGATTCGCCACTTGCATCAGCTGGCGTGTCCGCTTTCTTTGCTCTGGGGGCCGCCCTCCGCCGCTTTGGCTTCTCTTCCGCCGCCTCTTCCTGCTCAGCCCTGACAGCAAGCCTGGCAGACTCTAATCGCTTGTCGCCACCAGTGCTCCGTCCATAATCCCCTCTTCCGCGTACCGCACCATTACCAAGAGGAGCTCCTCTCAAAAAGAGACTGCTGGCGCCTCTCAAGGTGGACAAGAAAGGCCTTCTTGGGGCCACATTGTTCTGTAGTGAGCTGCATTTTGTCGATTCTTGCAACCGAGAGCTGCAAATTGGTCTGGTAATTTCTGCTGATAGCGACTGTGCAGCAACGCCATGATGATCCGTGCCTCCGTTTGAAAAGGTGGTGAAACGGGCCTGACCGCGGAAGGTACCACTGTGCGGCGCCAGATACCCCGAAGCCATTGCTATGCTGCAGAGCTCAGTCTCCGCAAACCGCGCCGTAGGTGGATACCCTGCATTGCAGAATTCACTCGCTCCGTTCAAAGGGTCTCAGTCTAAACTTCGAACCTCAGTTGGAAATTGCACTCTCGTGCTCAAAGAGACCATTGCGGCTTGAGCTCTTGCTAAAATTTCAATCAGGAACCACTGCCGGCTTGATGAGCTTAAACTTGCTCTGTTGGAACCTGGTGGGGACCGTCCATCTTGTGAAGCAGGCTTCAATGCATCAGCCTCAGGGCAATCTGTAGCCTTACTGTTAGGCCTCTGCCAGCAATGATTCAATCCGATCATGTAGATGGTAACGGATGTTCCGTCCAGTTTGAGGACCCCCCTTTACCGTACTTATCCAAAGTAATGATCTCCCTAGTTGTATGAAAACACGCAAACCCTAATATTTGAGAGCTGTGCATTCATTTGCAAGCTTTACGAGCTCAAACATCTCTCAGAAAATTTCCTGCAGAGGAGCGCATGCTCAAGGACCATCTAGACACGTCTTATAAATAGAATAGCTACTGACGAGGGCTTCGTCGTGATTCAATCCATTCAATGCACTGCTGCTGTAAGAAATGGAGCCAGCCCCGCCCGATGGAGGGGAACCGAAAGAAGACCTTACAGAACAGAGGTTCAAATTGTATGAGGAAACTGACATCGAGTCGGAGCCGTTAGTTGCAAGAGATGAGGATATTGATGGATCTCTCAAAGCCATCAGGCGCCCATGGTGGCACCTTCCCATCTTACCTCTGCTCATCTTGTCCGAATGGCTTGCCAGGCTCTCGGACGCCTTTGGGTCTCGCTTCGTCTTTGCTGTCATCATCGTGTATGGGATATCCCAGGGCATTGGGGAGATGGTCGGCGAATTCAACTCAAAGTACTACTGGAAGGACGTGATGCGCGTGTCGCCAGCAGAGTCCCAAGTGAGCTGGCCATCAGCTTGCAGTGTACTTGTCGTACATCCGATCACCAGAAGCGTGCCCTCGGGCTGCCTCACCAGCCATAATTGTGTTAGCTTGGAATGGGCCATCGCTGATCTCAGAATTAGTGCTGAGTTCAGAAACTCGTCTCTAGCTGACATGCATCCTGTTAAAAAAACAATGCCGGGTGAAAAGGTAAAGACAGAAAAGGATGCTAATTTTGTTAGCCAACTAGAGATGCATTTCCCTTTCCCCCCTCCTATTCCCCCCTCCTAAATTATCTCTCCCCCCTGTTCTCCTCCCCCTAGTTGTACAACTCCCTGCCCGACCTTCCCTGGGATATCAAACCGCTGTGGGGCCTTCTGACAGACAGCTTCCCTATCGCTGGCTCGCACACCCGCTCCTGGATTGCAATCACGAGCGTCCTCGGTGTTTTCTGCTGGGGGACCGTCGCGGCGGTCCGATTACCAAAAGGGTTAGCAGCAATCGCGCTGGTTGGGACAAATGTTGCAATGGCGCTTCCGGACGTGGCCACAGATGCGGCCGTCGCAATGCGGTCACGCGCCAAGCCGCAGTTTGCAGCTGATCTCCAAGTGAGACAAAAGCTTTTCGTGATCCTGGTCCTAGGGTCAGGGTGTGGTGATTTGCGATCAAAAGGGCTTGGTTTGTATCTGAAAACTTACTGGCACCCTCCTTGATGATCACAAAAGGAAGTTCCATCAAGAGAAGGCTTGAGGAAGCAAACATGAGCTCCTGTTCTAAATGCAGTCTGCAGCAGCTTGGCGGTTGAGTATATGGCTTGGATCCTGCGTCTAGTGATCAAGGCTGTTTTAAAAGGCTTTCTTCATTGTTTTGGCAGCGAATGCGACCGAATAGATACTTGTTGCTGTGTTTGTCAGCGAAGCATTTTGTCGCATGGGGGCGCTTTTTAATGAGTTTGTTATAACAAGAGAAAGCGCCGGTGGGGAAAGTCTGTCCATGGTATGCCTGCGATAGCCAAGCTGAATCAGGACAACACGACTGCAATCTCGAGTGAGTGTCCTTCGAGCTTACTGAAGTTGAAAACTCAAAGTTGAGTCACAAAAGCGCCCAGTTGTCAACCATCGTCTTGCTATTCCCCTGATTCTAGGCTCTTGCACTTTTCATTTCTGACGACGACACGCCATTTCTTTCCCCAGAGCTTAACTTGGGGCACGCTCGCGGTGGGTTCCTTAATCGGCATGGCGTTTAGCGGGCCCGCCGTTCACTACTTGGGCTCTCGCGGAACATTTGCGCTCTTGTCTGGTGCGCCAGCATTGACGCTGTTGGCAGCGTGGGCACTGCCAGAGCCGAAAGCTGCGACCAATCAGAAGGTGAGCGACTGACCGCGGGTCGCCCGTGCCGTGGTACTAGAAAGGTGCTGTTCGGGCATACTCATTGCCAGGTTTTCTGGTTCGCGCTTCACTTTTCAGAAGCTCTCCGCTTGGGACGTGTCTGCTCAGCGAGAATCGTTTTAATTTCATCTTTGCAGTCGTAGTACAGTCGTAGTTGTGCAGAATTCGAGGCTACTGCCCGCCAATTCTGAAAGTGATCCCGTGTCTTGTGCATCAGGGCGGTTTTGCGCGCGTCTGGCACTCCCTGCGGTTGTTCTTCGGGGCCATGCGGGACCCGCGCCTGTGGCAGCCGGCCTTGTACATATACCTCAGGTGAGACCAACTTGCAGAATCGAGCAGCTAGGACGGAAAGCTCATAGCTTCTGGGGTTTCGTACTGTCCGGTTCCCTCCGTAGGCGGGCTCGAAGCCTCTGAGTGGTCGTACTATCCGTACACTTTCCACCAATTGCTAATCCGAGGATCTCCGCACGGCTTATTGGACGAGCCGGTTCGACCTGTCCCGTCATATGTCGCCGTCCGTTGCCATTTTCTTAGCAACTCGTTTAGACGAACAGCGAACTTAGTCGCTCACAAGCTTCGCAAGTAGCCCGGTTTGCAAGACGCGAAGAGCCTTCTACCACCAGCAGCTAGCATTGTTCGTCCACCGAAGACCTTCTCTTAGTGAATCATGACATGTGCGCCGATGTGCACTGCTCCTTTTAATGCCTGAAGCTATGCTTCCTCTAAACGTAGGCTTCCTCACTGGGGCGGTAGAGCAATTGTTTGGTTTCATAAACCCGGGAAGAGTTAACCTAAAACTCAGTGCAAAGCTTTGCTGTCCCCCAGCCAGGCCCTGTGCCCTGACATCACCGAGGCCAAGTTCTACTGGCTCACGGACAAGACCGGGACGGGGCCCGGCTTCTCCGAAAACTTCTTGGGGTTTCTCGCTACCGTGGGAAACTTAGCCATGCTGGCCGGGGTTCTGGCCTACAACTGGTACCTCAAGGACCAGCCTTTCCGGCGCGTCTTTTTGTGGGCGCAGGTAACCAAGCGTTCTCGTCAGGGAGTCCGCTTCCCGTTTGCGAGAAGGTTGATTCATTGTTCTCGCTTCTTGAGGTCTGTCACTGAGAAGAATTACGAGGAGATGCATCAGCCGTGAAGCAAAACATAGAGAGCCAAAATGGCCATTCAAGAGTTCAGCGCAAGGGATGCAACGTCAGAGCCGTTTCGTTGAGTAAAAGTAAGAGAATATTGTTTGTCTTCCTCACCTTGACCCGCTTTATATGCAAACTGAGACGCGTCAATGCCCAGGGACGAAGATCGTTGAACTCAATTCCGGTTTGACAAGCTGCCACGTGTCCTTGCACCGCAGGTGACGCTAGTAATAACCGGGATGCTAGACTTGATTCTCGTGACGCGGCTCAACCAGCGATTCGGCATTCCGGATCACGCGTTTGTCGTGGGTGACGAGGCGGTGCAGGACGCAATCGACAACCTGCGTATGGTCCCCATGCAGGTGCGTTCGCATAATGCCACCTGTCAGATTTGCATCGGCCGCCTGGGCAGAAAGACCCTTCGTGAATGCAGTGCTTGTGAGGCCAATTATCGGATGCTTTTCTGTTCGTGTAGCTTTTGGGGGTTTACGTCTGAGTAGATTGTACAAATTGGAGGCTTAAACCAGAACTGAACTTCGTGTAGTTTGGAGGCTCTGAATCTAAACCCCTGTCGTCATCGATCTTTTCCCAATCAACATTAAATCTGCAAGCTGGCACAAACTCGCCAGCCTGCACCAGAAGAAATTCTGTGGACGAGATGACCGGTCGCTAACATTCCTACTCGCAACTTTGGATCACACGTGCACGGTCGGCTTTGCAATCGGCGACGCTTTGCTCTTCGGGATTAGAGATCCTCTCCTCCTCTTTCTCAGGTCCTAGCCGCCCGCCTCTGCCCCCCCGGAATTGAGGGCACGCTCTTCGCCTTCCTGATGTCGCTCTCCAACGCCGGCGCGAACACCGCAGAGCTGCTAGGGGCAGGCCTGATAAAGGTGCTCGGAGTGACGTCAACAAACTTTTCCAACTTGTGGCTTGCGGTAACGATCAGGAGCTTGATGAAGCTCTTGCCCATTGTGTTCCTGTTTCTAGTCCCTGATGCGAGCCCAACGTCAGACTTTGGGGTCGTAGGCGGAGGAAAGGGTATACCTCGGGACAGCGATAGCGGCGTTGACCTGACGGTTATGCCTTTGAGCTCGGAGGGACGTGTTGATGACCGCCCGAGAACACCACGATGACATGCTGTCACATGGCGATTGTGAAGACGAAGTTTAGAGCGAAATGCACAGGAACGTTGCTGACTGATTAATCGACACTGAATGCATGGATGTCTCGACACTGCTAGTACTACTGTCTCCTTAAAGGACAGAGTGAATTACATGAGACGTGTGGTCAATACCATAGAGAGGTGCATGATGAAAGTTCGCATTTGTTTCATGCGTACATTCAGACCGCGCCCGGGGTCACTTACGAAGTTTGCGGCAAAGCACTTATGGCTCATATTGTGGGGGCGGCGCAGCAAACGTGGATCAAAGCGTAATTGACTATATATGAAATATATAGCATGTGCGTGCAGACAATTGCAGCCACTTAGGCACAGGGCATCTAGGCATACGGCTCTGCCAGCTTATACCTATACATGTCTTCGACTGCGCGTGAAAATCACAAGTGATCGGTCTGCTTCCCAGTACATGCTTGAAGCTGATTAGTATACGATGTCAACCTGTATTGCCTCAGTGCAAAGGCAGGCTTGGGACCAGAAGGCAGCCAAATGCACACTGATTAAGGTGGCCATGACAAGCGCTCAATCGATAGCCCGTAGGTACCTTATTTGATGTGCCTCTCACATGCCACTGACAAATCTTGGAATACTGCATATGCTTATTGGAAGCCAGTCTAAGGGTGGCAACTTGCAGCCTTAAAACTGTATGTCTGACCGGCAACCTAAAAATATAGCCAAGAACACCTTATGTCTTGCCGATCTTTACTATTGCTTTACTTCCCAATCTTTACCTCAGGCAATTGTTGTACCACTTGAATCTACCTGAGATTGGCCGATCAAAGCAATCTCACATCGTGTGCTGGCGGCAAGGTGGAAAATGTGCTCTCTCAACAGCTGAAAAGCTCAACTACAGAACAGTAGCAAGCCACATTTGGTGCATAGTACACTCGATCATTCTGATGCCCGCAACGACATGTGGACCCAGCAGAATGATGACTATCCCGAGTCTTCACTACAATCCAACTTGGGAACAACTAATTTCGGACTGTTTCCAAACATAACATGTACATTTAACTCCTATGCAATGACTCTCACTTTTGTCTGCCAAGAAGACTTGCCCAACTGGTTCAAGCCCAATCCAATGACCTGTGAATCATTCTACTTTCCCTTCCGCTTGTCCTCTGCTTTTTCGATGCAAGGTCCACTGGTTGTAGAGGTACCGCCCCGATACCATATCAAAGGCAAGTTGTAATCTTCCTTGGATGCTTGGCAAATCCTGTGGGATCAGGAAGCCTGTCGGGTAAGCTAAGATGGACGGAACAACCATCTTCTACAAACTTGCATTGTCGCAATTTGAAATTGCTTTTAATGAGCGCAGTAAGATTAAAGTCTGCCTGCAAAGCAGACAAGGGATGCAAGCACGCAACATCATCCCAGAACAGGAGTGGCTTACAAATGCTGTACCAAATGAGCAAAACACTAAGGACATCCTCGAGTTGCTCATGCCCCTTGTGTTTGACACCACGTACCTTCTGAGAATCCTGTTTACTCCTTGCAGTTGTTGCAGCGACTCCCTCATCGGACCCGAACACGCTCGGTGCTCCCTGCTTGTTCCATGAAACCCAGGCGATGTAGCCAGCGACCAATGTGGAAGCAAGGACCAGGAGTACTCGCATTGGACACACCATGGTTCCAGGCGGAGCAAAAGGCGTCGAGTGAACTTCAAACCAACGACACCAAGCTACTCCTGGACCTAAGCGAAAGAGGACCTAACTGGTGCGCATCAGCAAGTCCTCCTTCGCTGGAGCTCTGCAGAAGGATCTAAACTATTTGCACCTCATAAGCTGCAGAATGGAAGGAATGATAGAAGGTTTTCCAACAGAACCATGCTTTCAACTTCTATGGGGCCGTTTGCAGGCAGGCTTTCAATCTTGTCGCTCGGTCGGTGCAGTCCCACTTTGCTTTGCACTTTACGTCCTTATCAGAAGCAACAACTTTCAGCACTCCACCAGCTGAATCCGCCTACCCGCCTCAACCGCCCGAGCTCTCTGCTCCAGCAGCAATCTCAAGCACGGCCACACCACGTCCCGGGAAGACTGTTTCTGAGCCGCTCTTCTACGCCATGAAAACCTTGTCTTCCATGAAAAGAGAGGACACTCAGGAGCCTGCTTGACCTCAACAAGCGTGCCTACTTATCTTCAAGAGCACATGTAATCTTATACTTTGTGCGGGCCGCAAGGTCAGCACGCGCCAGCCACCCTTCCTTCTTTGCTGGTGCAAGGAAGGTGCTGCATGGCAAGGACTCGGAGGTCGGTTTGGTCCTGGTAATCCAAGTAAAGATAAACCCACCAGGTCACAGCAGGTAACGCAGAGACGTCTTGGAATGCCCGGTCTGCTCGTTGCGCCGGTCTTGTCAACGGGCGTCACTGTAGTGCAGTCTGCAGCTTTTCGTGAATTTTTCGGACCCGGTTGTTCGAAGGACCGGGAGGAAGCTAGGTGCCCCGCTTTAAAACGCGTTACGTCACGGGCTCACCAGTAATTTGTAAACCAAGTCAACGCGTCGTTTTGATCCTTACTATAGCCTATGATGCTTCTCTGTCGAATTAATTCAATTGATTGATCGGTCTGTGCAGATCTGCTTGACCTGCCAGTTAGGAACTTAGGGTTAACCCGAAATGCCTGCTCCAAAGTGCTCGTCGTGCATTAGGTATCTGACAGAGACTGGACACCTCGAAATTGGCGAATGAGGACGGCGATTGTTTCTTTTGAAGCATTGCCATGGTGTTATCAGTTAAGACTCTTACTTGGATGCAGCTGCAGCACGTTCTGAACCCGTTCTGAAGAGCCACACTTGAAAGATATGGCGTATGATCGAGGAGCCAGGATCGGCAGGCACTCTGCTTCTCCCACCGAGCTCGATGTTGGCGCGCCTATCCTAGTGGTTCATCATGTCCCAAGTCGCAGCTCCAATATTGAATCCGCAGCTCCACTAATAAGGTCTGAATCAGGTGACTCGGTCCTATGTCTCATTTCGACGAGAGTCACCATCTGAACATGCGCATCATCACTATAAAAGCGTAGTGAATCGCATGCGGCTTCAATCCACTACTTCGAGATCCAAAGAACGCGGATTTCCACGTTCTCCAAGATGAAGCTTTCCTTAAGACAAGCTCACGTGCAAAGATCGATTGTTGTCCTGGTCCAGAGTGAACGGATTATGGCGGTTGGACACTGCAGTAAGTCTAATACGGTTTTTGCAAAAGCGAACGGCGCAGCTGCAGATCTTCACGGTGCATAAACTCGGCCCCATACAAAGTTTTCCTGGAGACAGCAATATCGAGACACACTGCTAATGCTTAGAAACCATTGTTGGGACTTGACGACATCATGACATCAGGGACGGTGCTTGTGGGAAGGAGTTGAGCAAGCCCTCTCCTTTGTAGCCCCGGCGGCAGGCCAGACGATGACGGGGCATGATGACGGGGCATGATGACTATAGAGTTCGTTCTGATCTCAGAGGCACTTCAGAAAACAAACGGGGAATTTAGCTGTTCAGTGTCGGTTGGACGGAAGCTCCAGCTTCAAATCCACGTCAACATGGCCAAATTTTAATTACTTCCAATTTTTATCAAACACGCCCTGTCACGACGTGCAGCTCTCAAGCCAGAAAGCAGATCATGCCTTCAAAGAACGGGTTCGGATCCACATAAGGGCGTGCGTCCTCTCAATGTGCGAATCTGCCTCTGTTGATCATCGCATGTCTCGAACCACCAGATTGTCTCAAGGAGAGCGATCATTGGAAAAATGTCCACCCGTAGGAAGCGCGGTTATTGCAAGCAAGAAGTTTATAGACCGTTGCATTCTTGCTGCAATGTGTAGCAAGCATTACCTCGGAAGTCCACGCCACCTCTACCCTACTTCCTACTCTACCTACCCCGTATCTTACACCGCTCCCCCGCCGCCCCTAGTTCCTCAGTTCGTCATGCAGCTCTCGTAGGTAGGGATCATATATTTAATGTTAATGAACGCGTCCTCGCCGCCCTTCTGCTCGAACAGCTCCAGCGTCCGCATGACGCACTCGCCCATGCACTGCTGCTTCTGCTGCGCATAGTCGATGCCGTCGCCCAGATTCTCGGTGTGGTTCTTGAACAGGTTCAGCACGGGCAGGATCTGCCGGTAGTACGGCACCAGCGCCTCGCCCACCATCTCTTCGCTCTCCACCAGCTTGCACAGCAGCTGCCACAGGGGAAGTTGGGGAATTAGAGATGGCAAATCAGGTTTAAAAGCTTTGAGATTAGTGAAGTCACCGGCGTGGGACGGGTAGGATGAATTTGGGAGTTAGGGTGGATACGAGTGCGGAGCAGGAGATCCTGTGAGTCAGCTTTCTAGCCTTGGATTTGAGGTGCCTATTCCTAAACCTTGACTTTTCCCCAAGATTCCCCCAAGGTACGTAGGGGAACGGGTCAGAGTCAAACCTGGACCACTCTTGTCGCATACGGCCCTTCACATTTGTATCTCTTCTTATTACTTCGAACTTTGTAGCTCTGCTCAGGCTTCTCAACCGTGCTCACTTCTCCGTGCTTCATTTCGCATTGCTTGCAAACTGCAAACTTTTCATTTGATAGGGAAGACGTTTGGCAGAGAAAATGTAACCCAACCCGATTGCAGCCGGATCAGACTGAAGGAGGGCGATTTGAGGAGACTGTGAAACGATCATCTTTACTTTGGACGCAGGCTATTCGTGAAGTTTGTCGCGCCCATTCAGCGTCCCGGCTAACGGTTTGCGTGTGCAGGGGGCGTTAGTATTCGCAGTTCTACTTCAAAGCATGCGAGGTGCGAAAAGTAACCGCGTACTCTTCTCACCCTGCCTATAAGGAACGGGGAAAGAAAAACCATGTTATCTCCGGAGGAAGGAAGTTGTGCGCCTGAAATCCTACACGAGCGCTTCTCGACCCTTGGCTGATTTGAGCTCTCCGTCCAAATTCCGGTACTTCCACCTAAGCGACTTCGAAGGAACTTTGAAGCTTAAGGACGTGCGTCTTCATTCACTAAACGTGTCTCTCCAGAGACGGGGAAAGTTTCGAACTTGAGTTGTGAAAGACGGCGCCACGATACGATAAAAGTGCCCGCTGTAATCCATTCCTTGCCTGGACAGAGCTGGGCCGCTTAAATTCAGTTCCCCAAGAAGATTGGTACACAAAAGTATACCGAGGAAGGACCACTGAACAGGGTCCAGCGAGGGCCAGCTTACCTGGAGCGTGATGTTGATGACGTAGGAGTCCCTCGTGTTCAGGGCGGTCTTGATTGGGATGATCAGCTGAGGGATCACTGGCAGTATCTTGCCGTTCCCAACCTGCAACCCCGAAGCGAGCGGCGTTGGCTCTGGTATGCATAAAATCTGTTCTGTGACCACCGTTTGGTAGCTCGAGTTGTTCGAAGAGACACAGTCAGCACTAAGCCAGGATAGGCTTGTCTTTCCCCCTGCTTGCGATCGAAGCGCGTTCGCTGATCGAAGCTTGGAGATTGCTATCCAAGTTCTACATCACCGTGCTGCTTCCGTTGCAATTCCGCTGCTCTTGTGCATTGTTTTCCTCGCTTTGGCTTTCTCTATCGATAATTGCAACAATCGGGGGAAGTGGGCGCCCCAGACTCTGTGACTCTGTTTTGCCGTTCCAGCATCAGGTGCTTTCAACCGCAGAGGCAACGCCCAACTCTCTTGCGAAGCGCACCCTCACCTTGAGCATGTCCTCGACGCCCTTGATCGCTAGGAACCGGTACGGCTCCTCCTTTTCCCGGATGCCGTCGAAGAAGATGGGCAGGTAGTGGTGGTAGTCCAGCTTGCTGACGTCAACCTTCCAGTTGATGGTGTTCTTCGAGCCCCGGTGGTCCACCGAGATGGGCAGGTCGCCCCGCTCGTAAAACTTGCGGAACTGCAACGGAAGAGGCACGCTCGCGTCAGGAGATGACGTTAGTAATGTGCGAAGCTACGAAGTGAGCATCAGGGTGTGCTCCGAAGAAGTGAATGGTGCGCCGGGAGTCCCTGAACTAATTGAATATAAGTGCAGGCTTTGTCCCGCACAAGAGAGAATTGTGGAGCAGGAGTGCAAGGTGCATGACGGTTGAGGATCCTTCAGGGGCCTTACGAAATACCGGTGACAAGAATCTGAACGGCTCTTGCACAATGTGTCAACCCGGAGCTTGAGCTCACGAACATCATCGACTTTCCTGACTTACAGCTGCCCGAACCGCTACAGACTTTCGCTTTCAATTTAGCCGCCCCTTGATTCACTGGATCTGCCAAACTGTCTCTCTAGCACAAAGAGCTTCTCGAGTCGCACCCAAAGGCAAAGCTTTTAAGCTGTCCTAAGCTTTCCGTTCAACGAAGCAGTCAGCTAAGAGGGGGAGATGGCGTATCAGGCTCTCTCATGCTCGAGCTCTTGGAACAGGAATTTCGGCGTCATAGCTTGAACTGTGCAGCGGGCTTGCCAAGATCCTCTCTTCCCTCAGGATCTTGTTCCATCTTTTGCAGCCAATTGCATTTTCCGATCACTAAACAGCTGGCCTTGAGTAATTTAAAAAGGTCCAGAGACAATGAAACTCACGAGCGTGTTGGGCGGGTTGTCCCGCTTCTTGAAAGCTCCCGCCTTTGGGGGTGACGGCTTTCTGGGCTCCTTTTTGAACAGCCCGCTCTTGACCATCTCGCCGTCGCCCTTGCGGGTGAAACTGTGCGGGTCCGGCTTCTCCCCCCGGAACTTGTACTCCCCAGTCGAGCTGCACGGGAGGATTGCGTTCCTTGCTTCAGAGACTCAGTTTAAGCTTGCTAGAAGGTCTGAAGTGAGAGAAGAGAGGTTTCTCAAGCTTTACCAGCAGGCTCCACTATGCAGAATTGGGCGTGTCTCAAGCTCACAAACTGGCTATGAATGGCTATGATGAGGCTAGGTTATTGCTTTCGCACGTAAGTGTGAGAGCATGAGTGATGCTGCAGGCTTGAGCAGCTGCTCCATATGAGATGACGTTTTGCACTCATAGACCATGCTACTCTTTAAGCTGCCCTAAAAAGGGCCCCCTTATATATCTCCTGACCACTGCCCCATTGCAGACTTCATGCCCCTCTCCTTCTTGAAGGCGACGGTCCTGTTTTTCAACACCTTGTTTCGTCGTTTCTGTGCTCCCAGACTAGAAAGCTAGTTCATCATCGAATGCAGATCTACTTTTCCGCCCGCCCCATCCTAAGTGCTGCCAGCATTTGCCCTGAAGGTATTCCCTCAAAGGTCACTGCCCTCATTGTGCCCGTTCCCAAATGCTTGCCCACGCACCCATTCCCCAGGATCCTCCCCAAATACTTCCCGTGTCCCACCAAACGCCTTTTGAATTTACCTGTAGTAGGGCAGGTTCTCCGGTGCGATCTTCATGGGCTCGTGCGCGCCAGCCTTGCGGCTGGGCGACACGGGCAGCGTCTGGTCGAAGCAGCTGAGGCTCTGCTTGCTGATCTTGTGCAGCGTCTTGCCCTTAATCTTGCTGTCGCAGTACTCGTGGCAGTACAGCTGCCCCGCCACGTCGATGTCCTTCATGGTGCCGGTCGTCATCGTGACGCAATGTGGCGGGTCTCAGAAAGCGACAGATCGGTGCTTTTTAGCAAGCCCTAAGCAAGCGGACAAAGCTACTCATGCATGCTGGTAATCTAGGAGGGTAATGAGCCCTCGCCCCTGAAGTATTGTCAGGCCCGCTACTCGTCGAAGGAAGAAGCGGCAAAGTCGACAGTGTCCGTAATGCTTGTCCCTACAGAGAGTCCTGGTGCTAAAGATGCTCTTTTATCAATTGCATTGAGTCCCTTGGGTTCTGATTCAAGAATAAACAATATCTTCTCTCGAAGGATCAACGGATGCTGATGAATGCTTCAGATGATTTCAGACAGGCAACTCTGCATGGATTCTGCATGAGAGTCTTCGACCGTGAAGCTCAAAAGCTTTCGGAATCACTGCAGTCTTCCAGCTATGCAGAGGGCTTCTGCATTCTTTCCAATCAAGCGCTTCTGTTCCACAGGGAGAGATCGTACCTAATAAGCTAATAGGTTTGTGCGGTACAGGCTCGTAAAGCTTCAATGATCTGGCTTGATATCGTTGCGCACCGTACGGCGATCGCCTCAAATCGCCTAACTTGACATCCTCCACCAGAAGCCTTATCGACGGTCCTCGCAAGCCCAAGTCAAAGCTTAACCAATTTTTGATGGCAGCGCGCGCGTTGGCGCAAGACCCATTTTAAGCACAGCTGATCATAAACCAAGGCTGCATTCGAAGATGCTACTCAGCCTGCACAGGTGACGTGCTGCTCATATTAGGCTACATATAAGGT